CGGAGACTGTTTGGGAGCTCCTGAATTTCGGCTTCGGGATGATTGTTGTACCTAACCTGGTGAAACAGTTAGATGAGGCCGGCTGGGGTGTCGGAAGAGGACCGAGGAAAGCACCATAAGCTCTCCGAAGATGCATGTGAGGTTCACCTGGCACACATGGCTCGGCAAGCAGGGCGACGTTCTCGCTCTTGCAGACGCGTCAGATGGACAAAGTCACTGTAGGGCTGGAGACCTGAGAGCCGTCAAAGCCCAAGCAGCTCACTTTTCACTTCATTTCGCTGAGTGCTGAACCTGCGGCAAGGGATGCTAACTGAGGTATCTCTCTAAGGGCCACGCAGGGTTGCAAATGCTCTTCGGCATGGTCCAGCAGCGGGCCTTGCATTGCAGCGATTAGATTGCGATGCTGCAAACTCGCAGCCTTACAGCCCCCTCCCTTCAGAACCGTCGAGCGGCTGATGAAGTTGGCACCAGTAACTTCGACCCTTTCGCTGCGGCACCGCTCACCTGTGAGCATGAGCAGCCCGGGTTTCGCACTCTCGACTCGCAGCCGCGGCATCTATTGAATCGATATTGAACCGGTTGTCGATAGTACGGTGGCAATGTCCCCCGATGTTCAACGCTGTCAAGTGGCCACATTGGCCCTCAAGAACTCGGAGAAGTCCATCGAAGCCTGAGTGAGCCAGCAGGTCGGAGTCTCACTGCAGCTTGCCGCTGCATCGAGGTGAAGGCAGTGGATGTAGATTTGGCCGCTGAGGTCCTGCCAGGCGGCTGTGGGGTTTAGGTGTTATTGGCACGCCTTCGGCTTGGCGAAACATGCCCTCCAGCAGGTCCAGCAGTAGAGACATGAAAAGTCAAACTTCATGCTCGTCACGATCCCGCAGTCCTGCGGGCAATCCTTCCATACCCCCTTATCGTGTGACACCTCCTGGCGAAGAGCTTTGAGATGCAGAGAGTCACCGCAAACGTCTGCATGTCGCTGACGTGCTCAAGTTGTCAGATGCTGGACGCCCGCGGTGCTCGTGGACGCACAACATTGAAGCCCCATCCTCGAGCCACAGATCTGTGTGCCGTGTGTTCACCTCGGCAGGACACGCACAGAGGAAGACGAAGTGCACCTAAACCCAAAACCCTAAATCGGTGACTCAAGCGCCGGGCGTTTGAGAACCAGTCCTCCGGACATGGGTCGCCACATGAACCTGCTGTAGTTGTTCGTGCTTAACAAGTCTAATCGTCATCTTCGCAGCTTGGCCTTGAGTTACGACCTGAAAGCCATCCTGGCATGTAACTCGAACCTGAGCGGAGCCGCTGTGAAGGAAGCGGCTCTCGGTACTGTCGGCCACCTCGCCATGAGCTGCCCGTGGTTGGCAGAAGGTGTCGATGTAGGTGTCGGCTTTGAGTGCAGGTACGATGATCTGAACGAGGTCGCAGTCAGTGCAGATGCACACCACTGCAGCGCAGCTAAGCTGAGTTATCGAAACTTCAAACGTGCCGGCTTACCCGAGCTCCGTTGTTGGTTATGTCTCCAGCTGGGCAATCTGGAGAACACAGCCCCACGGCACGCACGGCACCGTCATCGCAACTGGGCCCAGACGGCGAACAAATCAAGCAATTCTTACAGCGTAGCAAGTCCGAGACTCCAAAAGATCTAAAAATGTGCTGAGCCGCGTCAGCTCCAGCTCTCCGGAAAAGGTCAAAGCACCTCTGCCAGTCACACTGATGTTTTGCAGCGACAACAAGAGCCTTCGCTGACTGGACTTGGGCAGAGGCTGGCAAACAAGGTCTCACAGATGAAGGTGCCGGACTGCACAGACAGTCCCAGCTCACAACATATGATATGATGCCCGCCGTTACCAAACATCCCCTTCAAGCCTCTCCATGGGCCAGGTTGGTGTAGAAAACCACAGCACCGTTCTGCTCCTGGGCTCGGAGCATTAAGTCTCGAATGGTGTTGCCGAGTGCACTTAGGGCGTCGGCGACATTGCCTCCAATACATTGCCGTCCACACCTGGGCGACGCAGTTGACACGTTTCATGGAAGTTCCGTGCACGCGCAGATCAGACCGCGCTTTTTGAGCAGGGTCTGCACAAGTGAAGGTTTCAACATGTACCTTCACCATTGTTCACCAGATGCTGCCTGTTGGAAGTACCTAGATCCTGGCTAACCCAGCAGCATTGCGCAAAGGGACAGAAGCCGTAGAGCCAATGCTACCAGACAAGCAGACAAGCTATGTGCCGGCAGGCAGCCTGCCGCTGTTGCGCACGCTGCCATCCTGGCAGCGTTAGGCAAGCGGCCACGCACGCTACTACTCACAAAGTGTTTCTGGAGCACATGCCGGAAAAACAAAGCAGCGGAAGGTGATCTCAGCACCCCAGGGTGCAGGACAACCTCAGCTCGAGAGTGTCAATACTGCAGATTGTCCCAGCAAGGGATGGCACTCAAGGTGCACACCATCGATGGACATCTCGTGTGCTTAGCAAAGAGCTCGCCAGGGCTCCGACTAATATTTTGCTCCGTTCCGTGCTGGATGCCTGGATGGTTCACCCTTGCACCTGGGGATCCGATGCCACGTCAACCCAGCTTGATACTTATACTTGTGCAACTCTACTTCCAAGAACCGTGCCGTTTGAGAAGATGAACCCGGACGTGCCTTGAGTCTCTGCCATCTGCACGTTCGTCTGTGCATACATCTGTTCCAAGTTGGAGACAGTTCTGGCCACAGAAGCCCTCAACCATTCTAGCTTGTCCATCGTCACAAACCTCGGCTGGCTTTCGACACCCCATGAGGCTTCGTGGAGGCAAAGTGGACAAGACGAGGCTCTGGGATGGCGCCATTGTAGGTTTCAGAAAATCGACTGTGGCTTCTTGCAAGACCACAGTTCTAATTTGGTTACGAGGCACGTAGACATGCACCGTCATGGCTTCGCTTCAAACACCAAGGCTGTGGCGACAGTGATGTTCCCGGCATGCGTCGCTGCTGGGCACCTTCAAGCTTCAGCTTCAGGCAGCTTTGCGGCGCCAACCCGTCCGAGGACAAGACTCTACCGTTGTGTTCTCTCCGTGCTCGAGCGGCTCATGCCTGGGCACCGCAAGGAGAGCGAGCATCCCCGATGCAATCAGCCCCCGCATCTGAAGGCATGCATAAAGTTACCGATCAGTGAACATACTCGTGAGCATGACTCATACTGAAGTTGCTGTGCAACGTGACGATTACTTCTAGACTAAAGATTCTAACATAACATACGACGGATTCGAAATTGCCGTCACGGTTTGCTAGCCGATATTAGGGTTTCTCCGGGACAGGATTCGAATGATCGATGCGCTCTGAAAGCCAACACTGATCGAAAGCTCAGCTTCGGGCGGAAGCGTGATGGTGTTGGAAGTGATGGTACCCGCCACACAGTTCATGTCTGGCGGAGCCGCGGGTGTCGCAGGCATTTTGGATATACCCCTCTCAATCCCCTTCCCATGTCTGATCTGAGGACAATGCAGCAGAAGCCCTCGTACAGGATCACAACACCATCAACACATCCAACCTCGTTCGGTCTCTCTTTCCGTGTTGCCTTGCTTCCCTCCGTCCATGTCGGGATGCTTGACTGTTAACAACCCTACTCAGGTCAAGTCTCTTTCGGACAGAGGAAACAAGGCGCAAGTCGATTCCACAGGAACTGGAGAACCCCCCCGGCTGCACCTTTATGTCTGGCGCGGTTTGGGGCCCTCACCGGCACTGCTCACTTGTTTGTTCGTTCGTGTGGGGAGAAACATGCCTCATCATTCCTTCCTGTACGGTCCCCGCCAACCTGCTGCTGGTCGCTGCGGCGCACTACTTCGTGGATCAGCAAAGTTTAAACGGCCTCCCCAGCGCCTCGAATTGTGGGGTTCTTCTGGGATTATAACTGTGCTATTTTACAAGCCCTTTCGGGAGGACTTGCTTCTTCCGATGTGGAGCTCCTTACCTTTACCATCTCAGCTGCATGGCACCCTAACTGCCCCCCTCCTGCTCTACGACTACCCACTTCACTCCTCACCACCCCCACGCATCTCCTTCAGCCCGTGCCCTCCCGTGCAGACAACCTCTCTCGTTTTCCTTCTGTGGGGCATTTCAGACATCCGGGTCCGAGACGTAAAAGCCGCCGTTAAAGCCAGGATTGCCTTGGTGCGGTTGGAACAATGGGTCGGTGGCCATCGCAAAAAACAGCAGCTTCACATGCTGTGACAATCATGCTGCACTGTCTCAAGAAGCGGCATTCCAAGGTCACGTTGGTCATGTGCGGAATAATGCCGTGACTGCAGAACAACTCAAGCAGAAGTGCTTCCGATACGACATACAGGAAGGGTCTTCCCGGCGGCCTCACAGCTCGGACTCCCGTTCCAACCTGTCCTGCTGCACAGTGGCGGTTGCATCGACCTCCACAAAAGCAGTTCCTCTGCAAAGACACGAAGGAAAAAATCACAGAAGCTGATGCCTAAGTTGTAGTCGGGACTCACGCTGCCGTCGTTGCAGAACAGCACGAGGCCTCTGCCCCCAACAAGGGCTGTTTTGACAAAAGACAGTCGAGGACTCCGAGCCGCTGGCGCCCAGTCAGCATGTCGTTCGGGCTTTGGCAGGCTGCCCAAACCCCTCTGCTGTGGTCCAGACTGGCATGGAGGCCGCAATTCTGCAACTTCCGAAACATGGCTGGACATACGAGGCTGGCTCGTCGTACACCACGAAACCAGAGACGGCAGGAGCCATTCCGGAATCAGCCTGTTCGGGCGTGAATTGGCATGTGGCAGATGCAGCCTTCTTAGCTTGCTTTTCGACAGTAAGTCCGGGGCCGTGGTATTGAGCGTCCCTTCGTCGCAATGCCTACAGGAGCGATATTGCTGGTCCCGGAATCTCAACAAACAGGAATAGGAATGGTAGATCCCGGTAACCGTCTGCTCGCGGCTGAGATATTGCCGCAACTGTATTTCGGAGACAAAGCTGCAGAGACTGGTCGGAAAAGGGACAATACCACCAGCAACAAGCAAACCGCGACCTTTTCGATACCGTTGTGCACATTGCAGCACGCGCGTTCTCTTTGGTTCAGGGCCAAGTTCACATCAACCAGTGGAGCCATGCATCACTACAAAGACTGGATTCTCCACTATCCATCAGGAGAAGCATGGCTGTGTGCAAGCAAAGGCTGTCTGTTTTGTTCTTATTTGGACAGATACGGAAAGCTAATGCAGTACAGCATGCAGGACAGGCGACTCCGCAACAGATGTCGCAGAAAGCTCTTATATGATGAAAACGCTCGGAATTTTAGGGATATTTTGGTAGTGTAAGGGCTTTGAAAATCCATCGGGCTAGTCAGGGCTTCTTGATTCTGTGTTTTATAATCTACAATAATTCGGATACCAGGATTTAAAGTGCATTGTGTGTAGGATTTGCCTGCATTTTGAAGACGTCCTGGAGTTTAGAGACGTTTTATCAACACTACACAATTTGATTTTTTTGCGCTAGGGTTTCAAGTGAATATAAGTAGAACTTCTAGACTTACAGTGAAATTTGTATGGGATTTGCGTCTACTTTTTGAGACATTCCCGATTTCAGGATAATTTAGTGTTCTAAAAAACTTAAACCTGCTGTAGTCCAGCCTGAGCTGAGACCATGCTGCCCTGATTATGACTGCAATCAGTCATGCAAGACAGGCGACTCCGGAACAGATGTCGCAGAGGGCTATAATTATATGGAACACTGATGCACAGCGCTCAACGGTGGAAGAGCCCTTCTCAAGCAGAGCGTTCCATGTTATGAAGGATTGCAGAACCGCCAAAAGCATGGACAGTGCAGCGCCATTCAGCACCCAGCAGAGATCAAGCAAAGGTTCGGGTAGCCTGTGGCTGAGCACGCACCGGTTCGGGTAGCCTGTGGCTGAGCACGCCTGAAATTGGCCTGATTTGCACTTCGCGTCTGCCATCCTCTTACTGGAGGGTTCTCTGTATTTGCCTCGGGCACTTTCATCTGACAGACGGATTGCCAGCCGGGCTTGCCGTATTCCGGGGTCAAGCTCTTATCCAACGAGCCTGCATGGACGGGGACAAAGCATCCCATCTACAAACATACCAGGGGTACGACTTCGCACTCACGAGCTGTGTCCTGTGACCCGTCCAAAGTCGATGGAGGAGTCTGCAATGCCTGGGCTTCGGACCAAAAGTGAAGACAGGGAGCCCTTGCTCTGACATTTCTTTCAGTCTCGGCTACTCTTCGTGACAAGTCATAGTCACCAGAGATGGTGCCGGAATCCGCTATGTGGTGGGTGCCTTATCGGCATGGGTAAATGCAGGTTGTGCAACCTTGAAGGTGTCATGTGGTAAGGTCTGCCAAAAATATTGCCACGCCGACCAATATTTTTGAAGAGATCTTCGGGTTGGACGTCCGTCATAGTCTTGAATGTCCGCACGAAGTTGCATGATACGTGTCAGTGTATCGCCACAGCCCATTGCGGGTCTGGTTGTTGCGTGGCAAAGCACTGGCGGTGAAGAAAATAAGGTTGTCCAGGTCTTGCTTGTAGGTAGTGCAGGAAGCCGTGAATTACATTTTCAACTATCCACGCATTTCCATCTGTCAGGAGAATACACGGTAACTCCGGGAAATTCTGATGCAGCTGATATCCACATGCACAGGAAAAGTTTTGATTGGATCTGGAAGGCGTTTGTCTGCCGAGTGGGTCAGTTGTCCCAAGCTACTCTTCTCCGCCTGCAGCAACATCACATCTTCCGTTGGCAGTGTACCTTTGTAGATACGCGAGCGGCACAGAAGGAAACTCATGAACCGGAAAGACCTAGGCTTGTCTCCTCGTCGACAAAGAACAAGAGCTGCACCACTGCTGTCTTTTTCTTGACACATAGTGGAGCTGGCTGCTGAGCTGTTTGCTCTGATGCCGGAGCTGGTTCTGAAACGGACCGCTCCGCTGGCTGCTGAGCTGGCTATAGCTGGCTGTTGAGCGCGCCATTCCTTGCAGCCTTTTAAGTAGGCTTCTGCTTTGGCACGAGCCACCTCTGCTTTTAGGCGCTGCTCCTTCTCCTCATCGGTTCGAGATCTGGCTTCATCCACTCGCTCCTCTGGCTCAAATCCAGCGTAGGCACGTTCTCATCCTTCGGAAAAAGTCCTTGCCTAGATGATGAAGCCGGGTGTGGGATGATCGCCTCAGAAGTGTTGAATCTCTTCGCTGGTGGAGCTTTGCTGGTGGGTCAGAGCACTTGCCAGAGCCGGAATCGGTTCTCAGGGATGCATCAGGAGCCACGGATGCAGCAGGAGCCGTGTCCCTGTCAGCTATGTCTACCCCATCCTCAGTTTCATCCGACACTGCAGTCACGTCGTTCCTCATTTGTGTTCCCCATGAATTCTCCTGGTCATTAATGTTCTGAAAAGTCCTTGTGCTCGTAGCTGTGCTTCGCGAAGGGTCTCCAGGCTGACTGCAGCAGCCGAAGCGAAATGTGTAGTTCCCGAGTTCATTGCTGGGAATCTTTCTCCAAGCTGCTGTGGCTGCATGGGTAAGCTTTCAGAGGCAAGAAGGCTGATTTTACTCATCGTGCTCCTACAACCCTATAGACTACACCTGTTACTGGCAGAGCGTGGTTTGGATCTACTTGGTCATTCGACGGAGAGTCCGAGTCTTTGAAGCTATGATTCGCCGTACCCTGCACTATTCTGTGCAGCGAGGTCGCGTGGGGATACGATGCCAGGTGCAACCAAACAATAAACCTGGACAACAGTCACTAGAGACACAAGCGGCCAATGGATGAAAGCCTTCAGAGTCCACAAATATCATCCCCACTCGACCAGAGTCCTTTCATGTCCCCTCCGAAGCCTTGGCAGGCCCAGAGTCTAGACTGATGAAAGGATCAAATGCAAGCAGATGCTGTGAAGCTATGATCCTTTAAATTCGAGCAGGGAAAGACTCCTGTACACGGCATTGGCGCGCGCACTTGGAGTCAGGTGTCCGCTGCCGGCTGGTGCGGCCGCGATGCCTGGCCGCTCAGGAAGCGAATTCAGGAGAAAAAAGCAGGGCATCCGAGAATCTCCGCTCCGGAGTCAAAGCTCGGAAGATCTACCAAAAGCTGCCTCATCACTTTGCAGACCTAACATGACCTGGCTGACATCGCGGCATCCGAGCTTTGACGGGACGTGTTCGTAGGAACACCCTGGAGTACAAAACCCCAGTCGCAGGCAGGCTTTTAATTCGCTGTACAAGAAGGTGGGCATGCTGGCTACTGCGACGAACTGGCGGCACCATGCTGTACCCAAAACTAGAGATGTCTGGCTTTGTAGCAACAGGCTTGCAGATCAGCTGTGCTGACTTGCAGTGGAGCTGGAAACGGCAACCAAGCGCCATTTCGTTCGTTGAACACAGTTGTTCCGGTTGTCGACTCAAGTGCCAAGCTGATCTGCATAGCGATGCAATGCCAGGTTCCACGAATTCCGAGTCAGATCAGTTTGTACAGCTGTGCCGGAGGCGTCCAGCCCATCTTGCCTCTGACAGGTGGGTCAAGCATCTGGTTGGATTGGGGGGGGGGACTGCACGAGCCTGAAAGCCTTGTGCCTAGCGCTCTTGCAAGAAGATTTGCCGGAGCTAGTGGGAAGCACAAAAGCAATGACAACAACAGCAAGTGCCACTGAAGCAGGCCGTTTCAATCAAGTTGCGGCAGCATCCTTAGCTGGTTCCACGGCCAACACTGTCTCGGCTACAGTAGATTGTCCATTAGACCATGGTAGGTAAGCGCTAGCATTGGGCCGGAAACGAAGGGCAACACGCATAGCAAAGGAATGTCTCCACTCTGTAGCCGAAACCGGGATTCTCTCTCCCCCGCAAGTCGCGTTCTTGATTCTGGTCAATGGGCAAGCAACACCACTGATGGGCTGTATCCACAAAGGACCCGTGTCAGTAGGTCCCCAAACCCATATCTTGCAACCCGGTGGCTGTAGAAATGCACGGAGATGTTGCTAAGCAGCGTCTCAACCTGGCAAAAAAACCGAGGTCATGCAACTTCCTGCGAAGAAAGCATGCAGCCAGACATGTTCATCTGAACTTGTTTCGCAGGGGCGGCACCTTCTGCTTGGCAACCTCTAGCTCCTTCTCGCTGCTGCAACTCCTCAGACAGCACTGCTTGACTTTAGTGTGTCATGCGAGATGGGAAGATATGTGAAGCATCGTGAAGCCATGAAGGCGGCCACTGCGAGACAGGGAACAGTGCAATCTGCAACGGCGTATCGCCCTTGCGTGAGTGGACTGAGCAGATCGGTTTGCTCCAGATTGAAACACTGGCAAACCGAGATAATGCTTCCAACTTCTCGCGCCTCCCGTGCTACACCGTTCCGGAGGACATCGAAATGGGCACTTGCTCTCCCACGGATCCGGACTTTGCAGTCATCCGTGGCGATTGCACGCATATTGCCTTCAGACTGGAACGGACGGATACTTGGACAGTGATAGCATGCAAAATAAGCTACAGGAGTGGCAGGCCATGCAGAAGGGAGTGCACTCTCGGCATTCCAAGGCACAGCCCTCACGGCCGATGAGGCGAGGGACGAGATCGAAGTCTTTGTGCTTCTCACTGTTGTAGCCGACGAAGGAGAACCTAGAGACTCGAAGTGATATCTTCCAGCTCAAGTCCGGTTTGATCGTCTTTGTGATGACGCTCCCTCAAAGATCAAGCTCGCCAAGAAGCTTGCAGGTTGCTTTGCGTGACACACCTCACGTGATTGGTCCAATCAAAACAGTTGATAAACAGAGAGTCTGTGAGGAAACGTGTCAAGAAAACCCAGTGCAGTGCCAATTGCGGCCAGGAACCACACTGACCGGCTGCACCGCCTGCCCAGGCTTGCTGAGTAGGTCACTGAACGCGCCACCAAGGCGTTGCAGTCTCAATATGATTCGCTCGCATTTCACAGGCACAAGACTATGCCACCCTGACCTAAGTCTCTGATCCTTGGAGCTTCACAGGATGAGGCTTCTTGACTAGGGCGAGACTGTTCCACATCGGGGCTGGTGTAACGCTCCACCAACCCTACCAAGCGATCCTCTGCTTAACTCGCAACAGTGCCATCGAAGTACTTTCAACCCTCCGGCTTCTGGCCCCTTCCCCAAGCTCTAGGACCACTTCGTGGCAGGCCTTGCGCGGCTTGCCCAACACAAGGCCCTGGCGGAAGTGGCTGTAGTTCCGACAGCCTCAGGCGAACCACAAGGAACTTCTATCGCCATCTTTCGGTTCTTCTGCAGTGCAGGCATGAGACGGCTCTTTCTGCTTCTTCTTGGCAGCTTTCGCAGACTTCGGCTTCTGGTTGCTTTGGGGAGCACATGTCCTAAGTGCAGTTTCAGAAAGCACGTGAAGGCACCTTCCAGATCTCGCTGATGGCTTCTGGTGTACTCGAGCGCGCGACTTTGTGCCGGCCACTCTACGCTTGTGGATTGAGCCGTGGCTGCACGTAGGATCCTGCCATGACATTGCCAACTGAAGCGCGCTCGCAAAGTAAGTGGGGCTCGCATCGTATCGTCGAGCACAGGCCCGACGCTGAATGGGTGTGCCTACCCGACCAGACATATTCCGATTTCTGCGGAAACCTGACATCAAGGGAGCCTTGTCCAAGCATCATCCGAAAAGGACTCTGGGAGGGGGTGAGGTCAAAGCTCAGACGGAACATCATGCGTCACGCGGCGTTTCGAGAAGACAACGTGCATATACGGCATGTGAGGGTTGGGTAGGATTGGGAATAACATCGATGAACATCCCCAGCAAACATGAGTCCTGTTCGAGCAGATCAGCTGTAGTATCCGAAGCCCACAGACATGTCGTGTCGGCTTCGTCCAAAGTTTGCGTCAACCTCGGCAGGCTGAAAGAGAATGTTTGGAGAAACTTGCAAGACTTTGCCGGCGAGACAACAGCAGCCCAAGCGCTACACAGCCACAGGAACGCCCTTCAAAGGCCCAATGACTTGCCAGGACGATTTGGGAATCGCTGAAAGCCTACGCGAGCCTTCGAGCGAGTTAGAATTCAAATGCTGCGCGAGCACGATTTGCACGGCGCACGAGCCGTGGGGCGAAAATGCACTTTTGTGAAGAACACCGAGCGTCGTGCCACGACACTGTTTGGGGAACAGTAGCCCACCCATCCACCCACCCTGTGAAGAATTCTCCTGTCAGCTTCTTGAACTGGTGACCCCAACATCAAGGAAACGGAAACGTGCCTTGGCCCCCCGAGGAGGTTAGCGGATGTATCATTGCTGTATGGAGTTTGTCCGTGTGTGAAACAAGAGGATGGATCTTCCCTGGTGGCTTACTTCAGCTAGGGCGGTTAACCAGGCTTAAGGACCTTTGGGCCAACTGTTGTTTAGTACTCGGCCTGGGACGCCATCGACTCGCAAAGTGAGTCCTCTGAAAGAAGAAATTCGAAGGAACGATCTGGTGTGGCAATAAGGCACTTACAATCTCAAGCGGGCGAATGCAACGCAAGAAGGACGGTTCCCCCCGTGCATATACCAATGAAGATGCCTCTCTTTTCGCGGTTTTCGTGTAAAACCCAGGTCGACCACCCACTCACCCGCAAGCTACGTGATGCCACTTTAACTGCTGAGGTCATTTGCTATCGTCGTCTTCCCCGGCTTGCACCTCTTACGAAACCCAGGCAGCCAGGAGCTGAGGCAGAATGCGGGCCATTAGACGTTTCAGCAGAAGAACGGCAACTCGAGACCGGGAGGAGGTCGGATGCAGAAGGGCAGCACCTGTCTCTGCATCCATGCATTCGCTGCTGCTCTGCTGCTTTCTCGAAAGTCACCGGTTGGAGAGTTCTCTGCGGTGCAAACGGCCTTCAAACGCGCAGGCTCCTCCTTTGTCCCACAGCGAGGCTGCCGGCACAGTAGGCTTCCCCGACCGGCCAGTTCCTGGCATAGGGCGTCTGGGATTCCCGCAACGACCCACAATAGTTCAACAATCAAAATCATAGGACAGGAAGAGACGGAGAGGCAAGCGTTGTCCTGCAGAAGGCTCACATATGCAGCTCTGTCGTTAAAGCATTCCTTCAGGGGCCGGACTTGCGAACGGCACTACGGGATTTCTCGACAGCTCTTGCCTCGACTTGGTCTAACAGCAGCTTGGGGGACAAGTAAAAGCTGCTCTCTAGCAGATTGTGGGAGGCATGGGCGTTGAGAGCCATGGCACGATGTTGAAAAAAGGCTGAGCCAAAAGCTACATGGTCCCCAAAGATCGAACGATTGCCTTGCTGCACCCTCACAGCTCTGGTTTCGCCGCTCAGCTGGCGCACCTTTGGCATAGCCCACTGCGAACGGATGTAAACCCATTGATACCTGATCAACTGCTCTGCAGCTGTGCCATGTCTTTCGGCGCAGCATTTCGGCTTCAATGCGGTGTCAGACGACTCAAGGCTGCTGCACTCCAAGTCCACTAAGCCGACCTCAGAAGTTTGCGCTGAGCTTGGAGCCACCCTACACGTCTTTCCGCCTAAGTCACTGAGGCCGGAGCCCACCCCAGCGGGCAGCCCTGGGTCCAAAGGGCCTCTCAACTGTCATGCCGCATCCATGCGCGTCCTAGCTCTAAGAGTTCGTCGCCTCGTGGTCCATGCTTGAGTAATAGATTGTAGCAGAGCCAGATCTCAAAGCACCTTGCAATCTCGTTCCACTCGCTTTGTCTTGCCTCGCGTGTCCACCGAGCCTGCCGGACAATTCGTGCCACATCTTCCGAGGACATGTGCCGCCTCAGACGCGTTCTCCAGTCTTTCGGCAAGGGGACGTAGCAGAGTCGGATGCCGAGGCTTGCACGGAGCCATCGTTGCAGAAGATCGTCATGTTGCCCAGCGTGCCGCTGGGGCATGGCCTGGAGCAGAGATCCACAGAGTCCGCAAGGAGAAACCTCTTCGCACCAAGGCTTCCACCCAGCACCAAACTCGCCTGGCTCGCACTGCGTGCCACTGCTCGGCTTGAACTTCAGGCTATCAGACGCAGCTAAAGGTGACCCTGAGCCGGTGTGTCAAATCCTTAAGCCTTTGGCCTGCTGATGCCTGGGGTCCCCGACATGCTGCGACAGCAGAGCCGATAACACTAAACTTTCGAGCGGGCCCACAGAGGTCTCACTTGAAGAGCGACGAAACAAGCTGTAGGTGCCCAAAACTTTCGCTGTCCATCATAGCCAAGCAAGATAAACAGGCATACTCGAGCAAGATCAACGGACCGGCGTGTCAATCGCAGGCTGGGAGTTGGGTCTCTGTGAAGGCATTAAATTCAGAAGAGTCACCGTGCCGCGTCGGTGGATACTTCACCTGCGGTTGATGTGACAAGTCATGTATACAAAGGCCACAGTTTAACGAGCTTGGCAATCTGATGTGTCAGATGCTTGCCGGATTTTTTTCGTGAAGTTTCAAGCCTCCCGTGCTTGAGCAGCCTGATCAAGCCACGCCAAGCAGAATTCGTGGGTTTCTGACTGACTGAAGCACACAATCTTGCGACAGTACCATTGTTACAATACTTGTGACCCATGAAAGCTGCTTGGGCAATACTTGCTCAGGCACCCCACAGAGGGTTTCGCCGGCGACAAGACTCTGCAAAACCAGCATACAACTCATACGTGCATGTCTTCCAACACAACCTTGTCTTGAAAAAAACATACGGCTGCCGGCCAAACACTCCTTGTCATTCCCACACCATCTGCCAGCTCTGCAAATATCTGAAACGATGCCTGTGTTTTGTGTCTTTAATTGACTCCTGATTGGCAAAGGAAGTGCCCTCTCAAGCGATGCGACGAATACATGTGTAAACCCACCTCCAAAGGATGCGACGCCCGCTAAAACCGTCATTCAAAAAACAGCAGATGCATGTGGCTCAGGCTCCCAAAAAACACCTTGTGCAAATTGCCACGGGCTTGCCCCGTCACAACTCTTCATTATTAATCGCTCTCAGTGAGGATCGTGACCAGCTGAAAGCTCCTGCGATTTCATCGGCTCAATAATACCACTGTGGAGGCGCAGCCGCCGATGAACCATGCCTTCTCAAACTGTAGGCCTCGTGCGTGGTTCTACCTTACAGAATGGTGGCACGGCACTGGGGAGCTCACGCTGTAAGAGGATGTAAGAGGGCTTAGGGCTTTTGGAATCACCACAGGGTCAAAGAGGCCTATTGTGCACCAGGTCGCCCCATGTGGAGCCCAACTCTTCGAAGGTTATTCCAGATGAGTGGCAGGACCCAGCGCTTGCTTTCGCGGCCCTTCGGTGCATGCGCGGCTGGTCGCGGCAGGCAACCTGTCAAAAGGCTTCCCGGCTGTGCATCGTGCTTAGCAAAACATGGCTCCCCCTAAAGTCATCAAGCTTGTCGAGCCACCTTCCTCCTGTCGTCCCATGGCGGGAGCTGTCTGCCTTTGACGGCTCGACCGTCGACAGAGCAAGCGATCACAGCCAAAGTCCAACAGGTGTCCTCGAAAGCAGCGCCAGGAGTGGGTCAAAGTCCGCGGAGTTCCCTGCGAGTCTGCAGAAACCATACGGCAGAAGCAGCTATGTTTTCCAGGTGCACGAAGTGTTTCCTGAAACGAAGTCTCAGACACTCCGCAGTGGGCCCCACCGGCACAGTCAGCTTGCAAGACAGGATCCCACCTGGATCCACGGCCGCCCGGGCCTGTCTTGGACCGAGTCATCGCATGGCAAGCTATGGCAACATCTGATCAATGCGAGGTACCCAGGCGAGCGCAGCAGCGGACTGCAACGCTGTCGCAGCTGCAGCATGTTCCTGTGCGGAGATGGCAGCCTGCTGGACGCTGCCAAGTGATGCTGCTGACGCACACTGGAAGCAGAAGATGAGAAAGCAAGCAAACATGCAATGGCTACTGCCAGTAGTCAGTTAGTACTAGCATCCTCCAACATGGGAAACTCGTCTGCACAACCTAGGTGCATACACATACAGAGAGAAAGACAGATGATGGATGGATGGATGGATGGATGGATGGATGGATGGATGGATGGATGGATGGCTAGATAGCTAGATAGCTTGATAGATCTATCCATACGTACACGTATACATGCGTACATGCCTACATACCTACACGCACATACCCTGCACACCCACACACCTAAAACTACCAGTCTTTTATCTTGTGTTTTCTTCCGCTAGGGTTGCTCATCTTTCATTGCTGCATCATGTACTGTGTCATGTCCTTCTACTAAACTATGTTACAGTGGAGATACATCATTATTACCTTTGAAGACCCCGTGGTGTCCAGCAGCAGGCAGACGCCTGCGGACATGCTCGACTCAGCAAGCGAGTCAGGAAAGGGATATGACAGCCAGACTAGTCCAATCCACAACCTCGGGCACCGTGTACTATAACATGTTTATATATATATACACACACACATATATATATATAAAGATTGTTCTTACAGTACTACAATACATTATGGTCAGGCTCAGTGCAGTATTTCCAGTATGGAAAGGCATGAACTATGAACCTCAGTACTTCAGTAATTTCAACAGGCATAGCTGCCAAGGCACATTGCCAAGTATTGCCAAGAGCCCGTGAGTTCCTAATGCGGCCAAGAAGCTGCTGCAGCTGCGGCTAGCAGCTGTTCACTGCTGAGCTCCTGGTTTGCCGGAGGATCCTCAGCGTCGCGCTCTGAAGTGCTCATGCGTGTGTAAGTCAGCTCTGCTTGTCGTGGGCAGGTGCGCGAGCGCCTTACTGAGACGGCCACGCACTCCTCGTCCGGCCATGACAGTGCCGGGCTGTCACAGCCTCATTAAAAAGCAGCTCATACATGCAAAACAATGGAGCATCCAACTCATCAATTGGCACCTGGGACTCTTGTCGGAGGCGTGTGGCCAGGCAGAGGCACCTAGACATGAAGCTGTGTCGGTGACCTAGGGCCCCAGTTTTGGCCCCGTTACTGCGCAAAGCTTGGCAGATGGCCTTCATGGGCAAACTTGATGGCGGAGTCATCATGTTCTCTTTGTACGCCTTCGGAAGGGCAGTCTTGAGCTTCACGCAACAAAGAGCTTGCGAACCAGCTGCTAAATTGGTACTGCCAGGCATAAGTACAGATTTCCATTAAGGACCAAAACTGCCAATTCTGAGCAACCGCCGCAACCCCAACCGGTGCACAGCAATCAGCAGGACTCGACGGCTTCTGAACGATCTGAGCCTTCTTGGGCGTGGTGAAGATGTCCGGCGAGTCTAGCGACGTAACAGGCGAACGGCTTCAAGTGACGAGGGAGCTGCACTTGCCTCCAAGATCCCTGTTAGACAGGTCTTGGAGCACTCGGGGCTGCAGCCCTGGAGGCGCGCGGACAGAATCCTGCATGGGGCGATCTAGCAGTGCAAGTCATAGACCAGACTTCGTCTGAGCGCGGGTTCTGTCCGAGCCTTCTTGGGTGTCTTGAAGGTCTCCGGAGAGTCTGGCCGACCACCGAGCAAGTGACATTTGCATTGTTTGCCATCACGTCCCCTGCACCTACTCCAGGATCCACGTACACCTCCTCGCAACGCGATATCAGATCGCATTCTGCTGCAACGTCGAAACCGTCGCCAGCTGAGTTTATGGCATTTTCGATTCGATTCTCATCCTGGACCTTCTGCAGATGGGGAGCCAAAGGGAAGCGGGGAGCACTGTCATCATTTTGGAGCACACGGGGCCTGGAACTGTCGAAGCTCTGCTCGACCGTGGGCATGCCGGCAGCGCTCACCTCTCCGCACGGCTTCAGTGTGCTTCGGCGCAGCGAGTCAGCAGGAAACTCCCATCTCAGACGCCTTTCTTACAGTGACCGCGGGCGAAGAAGTTACACAGCCTCCGAAGGCACGGCACTGAGAAGCACATTACATGGAAACAGAGAGAAAGCGAATTGAGAGACGGAGCGAGCGGGAGGGAGGGAGGGGAGGGCGCGGGACGGAGGGAGAGGAGAGGTATACGATGCTGCCATGCAGCTGTGTCTTGTAGACGCTTGGACTCACCCGCAGCTCTTGTTCGCCATGAGCAAACTTGCAGTCAGCCTGCATCGCGGCGTAGCTGGGCCATCAAGTACCAAATCCCGGCACAGCGCAAACAAACCAATGCCTCCGCACACATTCCACCTCAACACTGCACAAAGACAGACAGCGTAGGCTCGCGACTCAACAAAATAGTGCCGAGAGCTGGATCCGATGCTCAAACCCTAAGAAAAAGACAAGACACGAGAAAAGGCACGGCAAATGGCTGTCTTCCTGAGTGATGCCACGATGGCACAAAGGTCGTATTCACGATCACAAATCATGTCAACAAGCTGGCAGCGCTACTGCAGCCACTGCACGCCAGATCTGGTGGTGCTCGCAGCTCGTTGAGAGAATGCGCAAAGCGACAGCTACTCTCCCTGCAAGAGCCCCTGACAAGGCAGGGCCAGTCGGGACCGCAAAGGCACGCTTGCAGGATGCAGTGCCGATACACGAAGAAGGCTTGCCGCCTCTGGAATTGAATGCACATTTTCGTTTTGTTGAGCTGGGCCACCTCAACATGCGAGATCAAAAAGCCAGGCCAGGCTGTCGTAACACAGAGCGACAATAGGTGCATCCCAAGTGCGACAATGTGATTCGACGAAGTCTCCATGGCCGGGTCGCTTCCCATCGTGCCTGCAGGAATACCCTCTCTCTTTCCCTGACAGAGCTTGTTGCTGCTCCGTCCCACGTGTCCCACAGCTGTGTCATGGCCTCGAGAGGACGCTGGCTGCGGAAACCTAGCACCTCCCTTCAGAGCCAACTGCAAAGTCGGAAGGGTCCAGATATCCACGCGGATGGTGGTAGGGCCTATGGGGATGTACTCCAAGGGCAACTTATAATATTGATGACCGAAGACCTGTCCTACTCACGCACGCGGTTCCTCGAAGTACTCGTCCCTTACGAATCCGGACTCGCAGGGTCCTCAGTTTGCCCAACTTGCATTTGGTGGAGCAACGGCCTATACTTTGGAGCGCAACTGGGGTGCTCACGCAAACACCTGCCCCCAGCCACTTGGATACCAGTGGATGTGCAAACGACCTGGGCAGACCAGAGCGGAATCCCTGTCCTGTCCTGAGCCTCACGGGTTGCCGAGTTGCAGAGACCGACCCCTTGTGCGGAAAGGGACATTCCAAAGTGCCTCCATATGGCAGTCATGGCAGGGCATACTCAACTCCGAGGCACTTGAGAAGAAACACGGCCACGCTGCAGACTTAGTACCAGACGGGTAAGACCAAAGGTCAGGGCTTCATAATTCATGAAGGCACCAGCAGACCTTCAAGTCCAACAACACAGCAACAGGAAGAGCTGCAGAGTGCAAGGATTCTCCGCCGAGGAGCTGCAAAGTGCCACCTTGGCAAGGTGCCTTCCGCACGTAGCAGGAGGAGCCTTGAAGCAAACCCCATCTCCGTGACGCGGATTTCGAGGGAAATCAGAGCCCAGGGTCGTGGCCACATCTCCCGTTTGTGTTGGCGATGAGGCCTTATAGTAGTCGCTAAGCATGCGCCAAGCCCGGCTGAAACCGAAAAGTCCGCCTCCTCCGTTCTTGGTGGACCAGCCTCGATTCAGAGGAGTCAACCTAGATAATCTCCAGAAACAGAACACAACTAAGACATCTGCGTTCAGGATCAGGAAGTCCTCGAAACAGCTCCGGCTCCTGAAAAGTCAAGTCAAGAGTCATCTACAGATTACTCGTTGCCCTAGACTCGAGCAAAATCTATGCTGAACGTCACTGTGTGCATCTGCGAACTGGCTGCTACAACTTGCTTCTTTTCACGAGACCTTCCTTCCAAAGTCTTAAAGTAGTAGGTCTGTTTCATCCCAGTGTCCCCGTGCAGGGCACAAATGCGTTCGCAGGGAGCGTAAGTGTACCTGCAGTCTTCGCAAGTCGGAGGCTTCAGCAACAGTTGAAGGCAATGTCTATGCCGGTGCCCGATGCAGTTGTCGGTGTTGCAAATGGCCCTGCATTCGCCATGTTCCAAGTCCTGCAGGAAGCAGCGAGGCGGACACAGAACACCCACTTGGAACTGCAGATTAGAAGAGCGGTCCCGTCGCGAACGTCCGCGAATGGGAAGCATGGCATTCGTCATCTCAGCAGCGTGCTTAGGCGGTATGATGAAGTGCAAGGCAGGTCACTGTTGCTCTTGTGCTGGACTGCCCGCGATGCTACAGGCCGCACACATTCACCATCGCCAAAACGTTCGAAAGCAGCAGGAGCTGTCGCATCCTTTATGGCCCATGCTCAATGCCACAATAGGTTGTATCTGCAGCTTGATGATATGTCCAACCTGCTGGCCATTAACAAGATGAAGCCATATCACCAGCCAGAGGGCCTCCAGACAAGGAGAAAGTGGGCGAGTCTGAAGCAGCTGTGCCAGGCAGCATTTTTCGTCTTGCCGCACTTGCAAATCAACTTGCAAACACTTGCAGGGACGCCTGGGATGCACAACCGCACAGGACACTCGCATGACGCTGCCTTGAAAGCCCCGTACAGCGGGGGCATGTCATGCAATCAGCCACAACCCAGCAGCTGCCGGTGCACCTCAAAAAACAAGACTCCAGATCTGTTGGATCTGCTCTTTCATGACGCCTCCTGACCCCCCCCCCCCCCGCCTGCACCCCTCCTGGCTGAGCGACGCTTCATGACGTTCACTTCGAGCCCAAAACCAGCGAGTAGCTTCGCATGCTCAGGCATCAACATGGTACTTGATCGGCAACCAGTCATATCAGAACACGGATGGCATGTCGGGTCACACTCTCACATGCTGAATAGGTTGGACGTTAAACTGGTTGAATCTTATCTGGAGACGTTAGCAAGCTGTAGGGCTGAGGGGGTGGGTGCTGTTTACAGGCACATCAAGCGGCCCAACAACGACCTTCACCTATAGCCTATCGGGCACGGCGTTGGATGTGAAAGTGGCGCGCTGTCCGTAGTTTTCGCCTGACGTGCTGCTAGGTCAGGACCCGCATGGCAGGCATTCGAAACGAACGCGGCTGCCTTCTAAGGCTGCCTTCCATGCGACCATCGAGGGTTGTGCAGGACGGGCCTATGAGAACCCTGTGAGTCAGCGCCTCCGCGGTGCGTCTCAAGGCCCTCAAGGCCTGGCAGCTCTCTGACGCGAAGTCCTCCGCTTCCTCGTAGTGCCGAGCCATCGTTCTCATTGCAGGACTCCGACTCTGGGTCTCAGGGCATTTCCCACTCGACGAAGATGTTCACTTCTAGGTTCTGAAGAACTGGATGTTGAGCATGTAGCCATACTCACCGAGCTTTGCCTCAGTGCCACAGCCGGACAGCCTCGTCAAAACCATTCTGAGCAGGGTTGAGTCACCGACGACGGCCGTTGACTCCGGGAAGGCTAGTTCGTCACCATGAAAGCAAGCCACCTCGAAGCTTTATCTGTCGGAGCTGTGGCTCGTATCAGTATCACTACCCTCTTCTGCCGGCCTTTCCGCTCGCTTTCCCGGGCAGACGGACCCCGTTTAGAAAAGTGCCGTTCGTAGACCTTGGCCGGAAAAGCCGAGAGGGGGCTCTTGACGACGAGACCCTAATTACGAGTTCCGGACAGGTCGACGATGTACAAAGCGCCGCGGCTTGGCACTAGCTCCTAGAAAGGGTCCAGTTCAAATCTCCCACCTGAAAGCATACCCAAAAAAAGGCAAAACCCCAACCCACCGCCGGAGGGAGCCGAGGAGCGAAGCGCGCGTGGGTCCTGGGCGGGACACCGGCACTGCAGAGACGTGGACGTGGCCCGTGACGTGGGGGCCGTGGGGGGCCCGGGGTCTCGGCCTTGAAAGAGCGGCTCCTCTGATGATCAGATCACTGGAGGCATCAGATCCTGCAGAGCTATCGGACTGGGAGGTAGCGATGCACCGGGACTCCATGACCCGACTCAATTCGCAGGTGGATATGTGGTGATGACCCGCTGTCCTAGCACAACATGCAGCTTGTCGCCACCCAAGTTGAAGGAGCCCTGCCTGCTTTTCAAAGACGGCAAAGTGCCTCACAAGCCTTCAACAGCACCGGGCACCTCAGGCCCGGCACCATCGGAGAAAGCACCAGCTTGGCGGAAGTGCAGGGCTCCTCCAGTCCACCAGGAAAAACATCACGCTTCCAGTCAGGGAGTCTCCGAACACTCGGAAGTGCACGGCTCATCCGGCTCCTGCGCCAGAAGGCCTGCCAACTCTACTTCTGCCGGAGGCTCCAACAGAGAGCAACGAAGCTTCACAGGGAAACTCGTGAGAATGTCAGCTCCCCCCGGGGCCTTGCACCTTTGCCTCGTTGACTCCCCACTTGCAATGTGTGATCGCTCGTCGAAGGAGCTCTTCAGCCTTCTCAACCTGCACTGAAAAGGGAGCACCAGTCGACAAGCTGCCCTGCTTTGCCGCGGCCTCGCCTGGGCTGGAGTGCCAGAGAGCGTCGCCTTGGCAGCTTACGCAAGTATTGTGGAGGCAGAGTCGCAGCACACACGCCTGCGAGAGTTCTGCATCCCACTCCAGCTCTGTGATGCCTGCTGATTCAGCAAGTATGCGCCTGCGGGGCCAGAAAAGTTGAACAGAAAACCATTGCAAGCGGTCAGAGAGCCTTGTGCTTTCTGTCATGAAGGACCGCAGCTGACCCTGAGAAGCAGCTGAAAAGCTGACCTAGCTGTTGTGCGAAGGTTCCATATAGGGGCAGCGACCCTTGGGATCTCCACCAAGCTGCTGACCTGAGGCACAGAGTCACAGAGTAGAAGTATTCAAAACCCGATCAAGCCCAGTTCTGCCTGGTTCACCTCGAGATTTGAGAAGTTCATCTCCTTTCAGCAGACTTCCCTGACAGTCTCACACATAAGCAGGGCCGGGTCCTCGGTTGGAGGTGCTCCAGCCCGGAGCGCCTAGAGCTGACATGAGACTGAAACACAGAAAACACACATTCGCAGCACCTGGCCTTGGCGTCGTGAGAGAAGCGACATTGATCGCCCCAGAGGCAGTCGTTCTTCAGAAAGTGGGTGCACCTTGCAGCTTCTCGCTCAATTTCTACATACGCTTGCCAGGATCTTGCTGTTGCCATTGAGAGCACGCAAAGCATTAAGCTATCTGCAGTCTCTGACAGCGTGGATTGGATATCTCTCGAACATTTCCAATAAGAGCAGCTGTCTCCTCTCACGTCGGCAGGTGAATCGAAAACAGGACTTTCAGAGCTTTTGCGAGGCTGGGAGGCCGATCCGTGTTTCCGACTGTAATTACGACCTCACCGGGTGAGGTCGTGAGTCCTGCCTTTCTTGCTTCTGCTGCCGCCATTGCTACTGCTGGAGTTAATTCTCAGGACACATGCCTTCGACAGAAATCTGCAGGACTGATAGCATCGATGTGGTCCAAAAGTCGCGGGGATCTGATTGAGACATCTAGTACTGGGCTTAGGCTTGGCAGCGCCCCACCAGATCTCTCCTCCACGGTGCGAGGGGCACGGCGCGGAGGCGGAAAAGACCTGAGCACAGCTTCGGAGCTCGTGACAAGCCGGATCCAGGCGATGGGACTTCAGAGTGCTTCGGAACCGAGTCAGGTGCTCTTGTTCAGCTTCAGCTGCCTGCGGGTCAAGTTATTCAAACCATGGACGACCTCACTACAGGATCTGCTAAAGGCCCTTGCCTCTCCCAAATTGCGGGGTTCTGCACGTTCTGTGCGGGCCTGAGTGTCGGTGAGCTCAGCCCGCAGATGGCAAGTCCCCGTCTCTGCGCCGGGCTCGCTTGTGGACGCGGTCTGAGTTCGGCTGGTTCATGCTGTAAAATCATCACCATAAATCTGGATGCGCCAATGGTGGGAACTTGTCACTAGCTACCAATGCCTGACTCTTCTCGCATAAAGTCTCTGCAGTGTTGAGCGGGCAGTGAGTAGGACAAGCAGGAAAACGTACATGCGCAGCTTTAGCCAAGAGCTCAGCCTTCAGCAAGAGAGGTGGGCTTAATGCAAAATAACATGTTGAAGACACCATGCAGCGACGTCAGGATGAGACCGTGGATCGTTCTGAGTGTTTTGTCGCAGGCTTCCGATCAGAATATATCTCGGACACATCATGCACAGCCAGCAAGCTTTGCCGCGGCCCAGTGCCGAGATTTTGGTTCGCCCTGTACGCTTCACTTGCCCTCCGAAAAACAGAGGCAGCAACTTAGGCGCCTTGGCGTCTCTCTTTTGCCAGAGCCAAGCGAACGGTCAAGGAATTCAAAGCTCTGTTTCATCCACGCTTTGAAGCGGTGCAACAGGAACTGCTTAAGGAATCCTACATCTTCAGAATTCTGCTGCCTGTGCTTCATCCTCTTTCTGCCCTGCCCTTGCGGTTGTGTGAAGTAGGATTCAAGCGAAAAGAACACAAGAATTGCCTGAGCATGCGGGTCTTGTGCTACGCGCTGCCCAGTGCTGGAAATGCACCGAAGTGGTTTCACTGGTGGCACAAAAATCAAAAGGCCTGAGGCCCATGGTTTTCACGTTCATGCTCTGAAACGGAACTTCAGAAAGTTGTTGTCAGGTCAAGGTCTGTTATCGACGATACTTTGCTTGGGCGGTCCGTTTCAGCATAGAAGCTTCGCTAAATCCTGTAGGACTTGTAGGCAATACCTCGCAGCACCCCTTGCCACATTCGTGGAACGTGGGGCACATGCCGAACAGTGCCTTCCTGATTTGGTTCACAGTGATCTTACGACAAGTCTCAAGGAGGAATTTTGCACACCGTGGTATTTCCGTTCAATTACGGCGCATGAGCCAATTCAGAAAAGCCTCTGCTGGTCGCTCCCGGCTGATATTCGAAGCGGGCCACGTACGCTTCCGCACATGTCTTTGCCTATTGTCCTAGTTCAACCCCGAACTTCTCGGGACTGCAAACAACGCCAACTGACTTGCATGCAGCATGCTGCCAACAAACTTGGCTGTTGCTCTTGCTCGTCACGCAGCACTGCAATGCACACGCGGAGCCTGCGTGCAAAAGGCAGATGTGCTGACGATCAAGGAGCTGATCAGCATTAGGTAGACACATATCGAATCGGGTATCCATGCACGAACATGAAATCAGCCGACTGCATCTGCCGGGTTCAGGCTCTGCCTGTCTAAGTTCAAACATTCGATGTTCCAGTGCGACGACGTCGCGGTGCGGCTCGGGTCAAGCCGACGTTCACATCTTGAAGTCCTTCAACTTCATTAAAGCACTTGAGACAGGCTATGAAGATGCTCAAACTCTATGAAACACACCAGTGCAGAACATATCCTTGTCCAAGAAGGATGTGAGGCGATTGCATGCCTTCGCCGAGTCGGACCGGGATTGACTACCCTGCATGTTTGTCTGGTTGGAGGCCTCCATTTGAGCTGCTTGGTGAGTGCACGCCTCAGGGCTTCATGTGGAAAGTGCGACCTGTAGCGTTCCAGGGTGGAAAGTGCCGGGCCCAGCCACCGGTGAAGGTACGGTCGAGGAGTGAGATGTGCCTTCACGAGACTGTCGCCAGGGTACATCCGCTCTTGCTTGGGCTGAGCTCCCAACACTGAAGCTTGGAACGTGTGATCCACTTCGTTCTTCTCGTACCTCCAGCACCTTCACGGACGGTGAACACGGAAAGTGGTCGGGTGTCGCGTCGTGTCTTGTGGTGAGACAGCTAGGCTCTGGAAAGCTGAGACAGGGGCCAGACGCTTTTACCAGGTGTCAGCTGCTTTGCAAAGATCTTCTGGAGGCGATTCTGCAAGCCTCTCAAAGAGAATTTCTTTTGGCTGCAGCTGGACTGAGAGCCTGGGAGCACTGCGCATCACGGTGGTCTTTCGCTCCAGCAACTCCTCTGCAGCTGGGCTACGTGGCTACCCAGTAAGCAGCGAGAGCAGCGAGCACTCCGAGCCCCCTGCAGCTTGCTCTGCTTGAGATCGTTGCCCCCTCGATCCGGCAAATCCGGCAGTTTTTGGCACACTTCAAGCCAGGAGGCAGAGGCAGCACTGGGGCGGGAACGGGCTCAACGGTGAAGGGCTGCAAGGGCTAAGATCCATCTCCTGCCAGCCGAGGATCAAGTGCCACGTATGCTTGGAGGCGCAGGTGCAGGGGCCTGCTCGCAGGTCGATGCCACCGTGCTCGGGCTGCAGGCAGCGTTCAAAGCCTCCTGGGTAGGTGGCCAAGTGCCTGGCGCTGCCAAGATCGGCGCTGCGAAGTCTCTGCCAGTGCATTGCACTTTCGCGAGGCCCTGGCCCGGCACTGGCTCCGGAATGGCCTGGGGAAAACTCGTGTCTTTTTCTCAGCGGTTCCTGGAACCTTTCTGCCAAAAGAGCCTGCGCCAGCGTCTTCACTTGGTCTTGCTCAACTTCGAAGGCGTTCCTTGCTAGCATGCACATGCTATGCAGCAGTGTACGACGCCGTGTAACAGCTGAGCACACGCTCCCTCTGTGTTAAATCGAGCAGCTCGTAGCCAGGGCAGTGCAAGTACCAGAGGACACGTCGGGCAGTGTCTGTCTTCGCAGCCACCTTCGTACACGTTCAAGCATGTCAAGAAAGAAACCTTATATTCCACTACGCCATGCCATGTAAACCCATCAGCTTTTGAAGTTCGAGGCCTTGCTGCTGCAAGCTTTGCCAGCAAAGACATGCGACCTCGAATTGCGTTGAGCTACGTTCGAAATCCTTCGAAGGCGGCTGTTGGGCTACGCTGAGAGCGGGGGCACACCCAGGTACGTGAACTCGACAGTGGCTTTGCAGAGAGCCTGGATTCGTCTTGCGAGGACATGTCAAGGCCCGGCTATGGTGCATCCGGTGGCGCCTCAAGGATAGGATCCTGCGTGTCTTGTGCCTCCCAACGGCAACTCCACCTGGCTTGTGGGCAGGACCAGCTTTGACAACACGCTCAATGTGTGCAGGCTCGCCTCAGTTGTTCTCCGACAAAGTCTTCCAACTCGTAGACCTCCGGCAGGACTGTGCACGGAGGCTCATTGTTGGTATACACTCAACCCACACAACCAGATGCCTCATCTGGCTCGTCCTCTCCGTGGCCTGCATTCTGCTGATTACTTCGAGCAAGAGGGAGGTGGGGAGAGACAGGACGGCCTTCGGCAAGGGGAGACTTGCGACCAGCGGCGTGTCCTTCGTGCCCCCTCGTAAGCTCATTTCCACACCTCATCAGGCAAATTCCCTCCGAGTACCACTTGAACTGCACTAAAAACCCTAGGGGTCCGTCTCCAGAAACCCATACTGAGCCAGCGGCACGCCGATGAAGAATGCCAGCGCCCTCTCGGCTGCATCCTTGGAATATAGGGATTCTGTCCGTAGATCACTGGTCACGGGTCTTCAATACAGCCACGAGAGTGTCGGAGGCTCTATGATGTGTTGATGCACAGCTCAACCCGCGAGAAAACATACAGAAAAATTCCATTGCAGCTGCACCTGAGTTCTCTGATCTTCGTACAGCTTGGAGCCTTGCACGCTGCGACTGCTTCTTTGAAGGCCACCATCCTCCCAGCACATGGTGTGGCCTGGATTGCAGCACATTCACTGTCACGTGCACACACATCCTGCTTTTCAGAACATTGACTTCCCAGAGACCAGCACGATCCAGTGAGCAAATCAAGCTGACCAGTGCCATGCAATGAACGTGAACACTGGGAGATGCTTGCGCAATTTTGCCGTCGCGGCTGTTGTTCTGGTAGCTGCGTGGGTTGGAGCCGGGTGGGTCAGTACTCCGCGAAGTTCTGATGCCCCGTCGAGCTCGCATGCGCACGAGCATCTGCCTCGCCCTTTAGGCCGGCCTGGCAAATGCAACAACCTTGGCTTCACAGCAATCTCAAAGACAAGACTTGCTGCCCAGCATTGCGCAGCCATGGAACGCAACGTGAAGTTGCCAGTGTCCGTGAACTGCCGTTGCTTGTTCTGCTCCGCAACAAAGGTTCGAGCCTGTCGTGCAGGAACCGTTGAGCGAAGTCCCGGCCCTTTCTGCATCTTGTACATCTGATCTGGCCTTGATGTCGGCCAGATCCGCTTCTGGACCGACTTCAAAGACGGTGAAGTCTGCGGCTTCAGGTGAGCCCTTGTCCGTGGCGAGCGCCAAAGCATCGTAGTGAATGCCATCGTAGATTAGCATATATCGGCTCTTGTAGCCTTGCCCCTGAGCGGGATCAGAAGGTTCACGGGGGCTTGGTCTACATGGTCTTCCCAGCACGTCCGTCTGCACTTGGCACGAGGCCTCGCCGTGGAGATCGCGACGCATGGAGCAAATGTCATATGCAGCAATTTCCTTTGCCACCAGATGAAGGCATGGCAGTCGAGAAGCACTTCAGCGTATGCCATATGCATCGGGGGCTCACACTGGAAGTGCTCTGCCAGAACGCTGAGCTCGATGGCACCTCCCCAGTTGTTCGCCTGCAGTGGGTCTCGGACAATTGCAGCGTCAAGGCCATCCCAATAGCATTGAATGCACTGGCTGAAAAGTGACATGGCACTTCAAAAAGCCCGAAGACTTCCCCTTCACCACTGCCACAGCGCTACCACCCCAGACAAAAAGCAAACACAAGGCTCTGCTGCACACACTTGCGACATGCAAGCCCTGCTAAGACGCAGCGGCAAGCCAACCCTCGAGCGACTTGAGGACTTGCCTGCAGGATCCAATCGCAGTAATCTGCCTCTGCTCACACCACGCGATTTGAAGCGTGCAGTGCTGCAGACAGCTTCAGAAAGCACAAAATACTGGGTGCACTAATGTCACTCATGCCCAGCTGCATTCGGCTTCGCCAAGAAAGCCTTGCATGAGCATGCTTCCGCTGAACGTGTTGTGCACACAGAGGGGGTTTTCGATGTGGAGAAGGAGGATATCCATTTCCTACTGCTTGTCGCAAGCATTGTCAAGAACCTGGCAACTCCCCAGGTCTTTGACTTGCGAACCTTCCTCGCCAACAAACTCTCACATCACGAAAAGTTTCGTTCACTCACACCAAGGAGTATGAGGCTACAGGACACTCCCACAATCCCCCGTAGACTCGTCCAACTCGTCGTGAAACACGTCAAGCCGCAATGCGCAGCGCATGACTCTGAAAATCAACTGCCCCTGCAACCTAACGTTGAGTCTGCTCTTGCTCAAGCACCCCAAGCCAACAGCCAGACAGAGAGCCTCGCAGTAGCGTTCCGGATCTGCGGCGATTCGCTCGGCAACAATCTTACGCAGCGCTGGTGCTTCACCGCGCAACTTTTCCCGGACCTAGGACCAGAAGTCTGAGTTGTGAGCCGGAGACTTGCAGGGTTTGCAGCAGTTAAGGGTGTAAGCATTCAGAAACTCGGCTCTGCATGGAGTCTAAATATTTATGGAGACTACACAAAGAATTAGAAGCATTCATTAGGGCTCGCGAGCTCATGCTCCCTTGCAGCTTCGCGTAGGATAACTGGCATTCGCCGGTTCACTATTGTCCCGCAGGATCGCGGGCTTACGGATCTCTGCTGATTTCGTGTTCACCCGGTGCACAGGCCCATTAGGAGCTACACTTCCAGGTTTTCCAGGGGAGCCGGTCACAGGATTCCACGTGCTCTGCTTTTACAAACCAAGGCACCGGGCAGGCATACACATCGTTTTTCTGTAGCACTTACAACAGTCATGCACACTTCCTGACAAGGAGGCCACATGGGGGTAAGGATGTTACAAATCTTGCAAACCATCGTTGCATCTGTTTGCCTGTTTTGATCACAGAGGCACATCCAGAGAAGACATCATGAGCTTGCTAACTAGCTGCTGGAAGTACCCTTGGCCGTGCCCTTTGTTGCAGACAAGGGGCATACCCCACAGCATTGAAGAGGCAACTATTGTCAGCCTCTATGACCCGCCGAACAACGATGCCTCTCGCACCCTCAGGCTCTACCTTGCGGGCAGGTGTAGCTCTGCTACAACACGCTGACACGCTGGAAGCGCCTCCCCCCGTACTCTGCACAGACAGTTCCTGAGGCAACAGCCTCACGGACAATCAGAGACTCCCCACTGCGCAGTCCAAGCCTTAGCATCAGAATGTTATTCAGGAAGTGAAAAGCATAGTAGCCACAGTCTACAGGCACGCAGTGAATGATGCGCTGAGCTTTGGTCGACGAAACCGTCGCCGACAGGTCCTTCCAAAACGTGACAGTGCATGACGCTCCATGCTTGGTACTCCGCGACCGGATCCTTGGGAAGCTCTAGAGCCTTCGGCGGGAAGCCGGCAAGGAGCTGGACACAAGGCCGCGGTACGCCCGATGCCTGAGCTTTCCACGGCTTGCCAGGTGCTCTGACGACGTCATGGCGAGCGAGCCACGGCGGCGATCTCATCGAGAAAAGTCTCTATGGGCTTCTCTGCAGGCACACCTGCCAGAAACTTGCCCAGCAATACGCAACAATCCGTGTCGCGCGCGCCTCGCAGGGTCGACTGGGAGGTCGGTCCCTTGACTCTGAAATCCATCGGCCGCAGTCGGCGGCATCAAGCTTCAACAACTTGTTGTGGGTGGTGTGGAGGTGTCAACTGCTACGCCATGCTGTAGGTGGGGTCTACAGGGCGTGGCTCAATAATGACATGTTGCATGTCGTGGCTTCAGCAGCTTGAGCCATCATGCAAAATCGACTCGTTCTTGGCCAGCCGGTTCTACAGTCCTGTACAGTCAAGGCACATGCACGAGGCCGAAAACACGTGATCGCTTCATGGTGTGCGAAAGTCGAGACCAAGCCAGGGATCCAGCACTCCATCAAGCAAGAAGGAGGTCGTCGCACGGAACTGCAGGCTGGATCCGGCCTTACTAAGGGCCCGCTGGTCGCAGTCGCAGCTGAAAGCACCCAAGACTCGGCTGCGGACCATGCGATTCTCGTGGCTCCACTGCAGCACCTGGCACCGAGGGGCGCTTTCTGCCCGGGATGGCCTGGGCCTGCGGAGACTCGGAGCAGGGAACTAAGTTCGGGGCCGCGCAGCTGCTCGGAAGCGGGTGTGCCTGCGCAGGCTCAAGGCCCCGCTACTTTAGGGTTTGGGGCCCATTATACCCTAATTTTAAGAAGGAACCCCGAAAATAGTACAGGTAATGATTTAGGCCCGTACAGAAGGTAGCTTTCAAAAATTGCGCTGCTCCCCTGCAATGACTCGGCTCGGGCTCTCTCCTTGCTGCTCTGCACAAACTCTTGCAGCTTGGAGATCGGTCCCTGGCAGGTGTCAGCGGCATGTGCTGCAGTGGCCATCAAGTGCACAAGAGTAGCGGCATCAACAAAAAAACTCAGAAACGGTATCTGATTTCCACTTGACACGGCCGAGAACCGCCCTAGCGGGACCTTGGAGCTGCGGTTGCTGGTGTTGAGAGGGCTGGTTGGCCCGTCTGAAGCAGTGGCTCCGCTGTTGCTCCTGCTGAGACACAATTCATCATGTTAACTTCTCGAATCCACTCACTTGTCATGCCTGCCTGTGGTAGTTGCGCATCGCAGAAGGGCTGCCGGGGTAGAACTCCACCGGAGACATGGGGGAGAGCGCGGTTGGGGAGCATGGGTTCGGCGACATAGGCGACATCGCCGACATCGCGGAGGGTGAAATTGGCGACATCGGCGACATGGCCTGCAAAGGGCACGGCATGATGGACTTCGTTAAGTGAGGCCCTGCATAACCCAGACGCAGCATGCGGCATGGCTTGGTTTGCGGTTTTCCCCTCAGATGAATTTGCCCACAAACCTTCAGCAGAACTTCAGCATCCCTGAAGACACCCATTTGCCTGGCCCATCTGCTGCACTGGGAGTGGGGGCATCAGCAGCAGCATTGGACCGCCAGGGGACTGGGCAGGCCTGCATGCCAAAGGAAGAAAGAAACAGAAGCTAGCTTGTTTCAGTCCGTCTGGAATTTGCCCCCGATTGCTTCACGGCGTGTCGATGCTTGCTTCCAGCCTGTGTGATGTACACACCTGCCCCGCAGACTTCTGACACAGTTTGAAGCATCGGCTCGGTCTGCTTCCCGGCGGACGGCTTTCCGTTTTTCAGCATCTCTGATGTACGTTTACACGTTACACGTCCTGCTCACGTCGTTGTCTTCCAAGCAGAAGCCCTCGCTAGGAACCACCACAAGGGGCATGGCTCGCGATGCTGGTACCTGTAGGGCCTCTAGACTCGACTCCCCTGAGTGTACTTACCCGCTTTTCGGATGCTGGCCTGAGGCTGGAAAGTCAACACGATTCATGCTTCTCAGAAGCGTCAGCATCGAAATGCAATGGCCAGCGCATTCCCCTACATGTACTATTGTCCTTCTGTTCCACTCTCCTGTCCGTCAAGATGCCACACCTCTACCCGGCCCCCCAAGACATCCAAGGATTCGTGTGGCGGCACAAACAGTGCAGACACGTGCATACGTGACTCTCGTCCACACTGGCTGCGGCAGCACCGTCGGACCGTGACAAGCCCTCTAAGCCCCGGGCGGTGGCACATCAGTGGGAGACGTTGCCCAGAGTGGAGACGACAGCTGGGCATCAGTGTTTGCATGACAGGGTCCAATCTGATCTCAGAAACCAACTCTTGCAGAGAAATTGAGATCTGATAAGAGACCGCGGTTCCGGAAAAATCACCCACCTGCGCCTGCTGATGCATCATTTGGGACGGATCGACATTGACCTTGCTGAATCATACACAGAATCCACTGTCTCTTGCTACAGGTGCTGAATGGCACTGCGTTCTTCCAAGGCATCCGCCGAGTATTGCATGGTGGGCGGAACAGTGCAGTAGGCCATTTCTCTGCAGGCTTGTTGCCTAAGGAGCAGCAGATCTGCAACCGAAAGCCAATCAACTGCACAACAAAATGACAAAGCCACTGCATGCGAGTCGCCGAGACGTCGTCTTGCTGGTTCTATGGTTTCTGGAAAGCCGAAACTTCGGTGACAGGTTTGACAACCATTTGTCACATTACGGACCATCATGGGTGGACAGAGGTCTCAGCGGCTACTTGTTCCAAGTTACGCAGCACTTCACTGCTCTTATTCACAAGCCATTCCTAATCGTCCCCACTGCAACAAATCATCAAAGCCTCGTCGTTGCGAAGAGCATTAACGGCGCTTCGGCAATGCCGATGCGAAACCGGCGTTAAACGCTATGGGATGCATGAATTTGAAAGCCTGCAGCAGGTCGTCCGGTCTCGGTCATTCAGATCTTCCAATCCATGCAGACCCGAAGGCATTGACGACATGCCACGTTTCGGAGATCGATGGCAAGACTTCATGAATGCCCCAAGCCAATTTCCCCCGGATTGTTCAGAGAAGACTCATGAAGTCTAGCGGCGTCCGCCAAAAACTGCTACTACGATTTGACTATCTGAACAAATTGTGACACTCGCATGCAAAGAGGCCTTATTGAAAGCGGACCTCAAACGACGACGAACCTCAGTCGACCTGGGCAGGAAACTGCAAGACAAAGGAAGCGGTCGAAACGGCGGCGTCTCGAGTCGGAGACGCAATGCCCCAGGTGCTTTTCAAACACCTCCAGCAGGAATCAGCGGCGCCTTCAGGGCTTCCGTTTCACACGGGGGGCTATGCAGAACCCAAGCAGGATCTCCATCGAGGCTAGGCACCCGGCTCCGCTTTTGCAGAGATCTGCCTGCGCGCGCAGGGGGCTGATCCACACAGGGCTCTGGGGCTCTGGGGCATGGATGAACACTGCACGACAGACCAAGCCTGAGCCAACCAATGACGCTGAAAGCACGTCCGGGCATCCCAGCCTGCAAACAGAGGTGAAGGAAACTTCGGGGACATGTCCGTCGACCAGGGGCGTACGTTGAGATGCAAAGATTGCAGGAGCACGACAGGCGAGGAAGCAAGGAACTTGCGTTGCATTCCTGACTCGGAGTCTAGAGTCTAGAGCTGCCATCTGCGCAGAACGGGCTGCAACTGCCACAAGACACATGCACACATGCGGTGGAATAATGGAATAGACGGCCAGAGACCGAGTCCCTGCTGAACCATGTTACTCAGTTCACACCACGTGGCATGTGCCCATTCCAGCCTGGATGGTGGGCTGGAGAGTCGCACCAGTTCCAGAAAAACCAGCCATGGGATGCGTGGCCTGAAATTACCAACACCTTCTCTGATACAGAGTTACCCGCTCTCAGGATGACACTGTAGGCATCCAGTTGTGCGGCCGCAAAGGCTTTGTAAGCCTGATCCTGCGCCTCCAGGAGACACTTTGGATGCGAGAGGAACGGGAAGGAGAATGGGCCCCAAAGCGTGGCCTCTTCGATGTCAGTCTGGGCAAGTGCCCTGTCTGGGAGTGCCAGGCTCCACTCGCCAACCACAGCCGGCCTGGGATCCCGCAAAATTCCGCGAGATTGCAGGAGGCCGAAGGCAGCAGCTGTCGAATTCTTGGGGCCAGACACACGCCGAAGAATCTTGCGATGGCGCTTGGTCATCCTGTCCGCACCGCCATGTAGTTTCGTAGCTTGCAGCTTGCTTCTCTCTAAGCCTGAGGTGACTTCCCAGCCCTTGGCGTTGCCACCAAGCGCCAAAGCCTGCAACCGCCAGTCAGTCTTTCAGCACCCCGCCAACCTTGTGGCCAAGGAGCAGTGGTACAAGTGGAGGTCAAAGGCCACATTCGCATGGCTCGCAAAGCCGTCGAAGACGCGGTTCCACAGTCGCCAGATCTGAAGAATCAAAACGTGGAAGCTTGCACTATCTCGCGCGGGACACCAGCTGCCAGAATCTTCGGCATGGCCTCATCTAGTCGCTCTGTCCTGTACACTGGCAACCTCAAGTTGCACATCTTCCCAAGACAGCATCAGCGGTCCGCCCACATCCGAGCTGGGCTTTGGACACGATGCTGACTTCATCTGGCGGCATGAAGGTTCGAATGGTTCGAACCGCCTTCCGTCGATTGAACAAGGAAGGCTGGGATATCGGGCTTCAGGCAGTCAGAGCTCTTGCTGCCTCGTCATAGAACTGGCAAAGCACATCAGCTGGCACCTCGGCTCCCGCAGAGGCCACGGGTGTCGGGTCTGAAGGAAGCCACGCTGCCGGTAGCTTGGTGCGGAGCCTTCTCACTGGGTTCGTTGCAGACGGCTATGCCGGACACCGCAGGGTGGCCTGAAGAAACAGATGCCAACAAGATCCGCTGCTTAGCGCTGTGCCCAAGTCAGCACTTTGGACAGATGGATACGTATCAGACTGTTGCGAAGCTGCAAACGAGACAACTGGCATCCTGAACCATGGCAAGGCCTTTGTAGCGTCGCGCAATGACTCTCAGAGCCTGGAATCTAGACACTGGCAGGCGGCTGAACATGCAAGCGAAGGCCGATCCCGCCCTTGGCCTCAATAGACTCATCGAGCCGCCAGTGCTCCCATCTCCAATCCTTTTGACGAAGCAACAGCCCGCTGGATCAAGCCTCTTAGACTCTTGCTCTCTTCCCGGAGGCCTTGCGCTCTCGTCCACAGGGCTTCTCGCCACCTCTGCAACGAGACCATGACTAGATCAGTCCGAACTAAGAGAGCCACCCAGGACGCGTGCTTTCACCACCAGGAGCCCCATGAAGATCCAGAAGAGCCTGGAGCCTCCGTGCCCAAAGGCCCAGGCACATGCATAATCGCAAGGCACTATCATGTATCGTTGCTGAGTTGTACTACTATCGAACTTCTGCGTCCTTGGTTGATTGCCAATGCCGGAAGTGCCACTCGTTCTTGATACTAGGACTGTTTGCTCAAGCTAATACTGCTTTTGCCTCTGCTACGATTGCCCAACTACCATCGTCCCTGCCTGTTTTCAGCATTGCCCGTAAGTGACTGCCACCAACTTTGACACCGGTATTTAAGTTCCGACAAGTCTTGCCAAAGCACATGCTAGGTAGCACTCATGAATGCTGTTGTTGCGACAACGGCGACGACCACCACCATCACCAGCACCACCACCGTGCACTGCCACTGCATCCGCGCCACTCCATTCGTGATATTGCTGTTTTGACTGTCGCCACTACTGCTGATCCTAGTCGCGCCACTAGACATGTCCATTCCTGCTGCAACTCCTCTCCCCACTTGCCTCGGTTCAGCTTTATTGCAATCGCAAGCCCTGCTAGCACGACTGCTACCGTTTACATGGCTGGCCACAACATCACGACCGTACGGGTCATCACTGTTCTCAGATCAATCTTGACTACAGCGAACACCACTCCTGCCTTTCGACGAGCTTCAGCCGTGTGTCTTTCGTGTTTCTTTCATCATGGTCACGATTCGTGCTGTCATCAATCTCGCTGCTTTCCCGGAACGGATTACTACTACATGAATGCTGTGTCTGTGTGTGTGTCTGCAAGTCACAGTCTTGGAACAGGTAAAAACATGTGAGTGGTTTGATGCCTATGTACCTAAGAACTTGTTATACAGATAGGGAAACAGACAGATGGATAGATAGATAGACACCTAGATAGATAGAGAGGTAGACAGATAGATAGACAGACAGACAGAAAGACAGAAAGACAGAAAGACAGACAGACAGACAGACAGACAGACAGACAGACAGACAGACAGACAGACAGAAGACAGACCGACAGACAGGCAGAGAGATGGATAGACAGAAGGAAAGAAAGATAGATAGGTAGATAGATAGACAGATAGATAGACAGACAGATAGATAGACAGATAGATAGAGAGATATAGAGCTGGATAGGTTGATAGCTAGGTAGATAGATAGACAGTTAGAAAGAGATAGATAGATAGATAGATAGATAGATAGATAGACAGATAGATAGATAGATAGATAGATAGGTAGATAGATAGATAGATATAGCATATTGTAGCACATGTTTTATGTGAAAGTATGATCCACCATATTACATGATAACTTAACACATCCCATCATATGACATCATGTTGTACCATATCATCTTTACCATGCTGCAGTACATCTATATAATGCTATATTGTATTATGCTATATGTCTAATGTTACTGTGTGTTCTATAGTAATCTGCTGTATCAGCTGGTACGATACGCCGCTGTATCATAAAATGCTTTATTGGGTTGTGTGCTAGATTTTTACCCCACTTTATCACACCATATCATATTACATCAAACTCTATCACATTATACCATAAAACCTATGTCCTATTGTACTATAATAGTTATCACGTCATAACAAACTAGATCATATGATATGATATTGCCGCACATGTAAAGCACAAGAGTCTCTTCGTTTGTGATTGGTACCATGCTATACTACTACAGTGAGCCCGAAAGGATCCCTTACTATAGCGACCTTGCAGCTTCTCCTTAGGACTGGACCCCAACCGCTGGCACCATGTCAGGGCCCGATCCAGGAAGTCCAGTCCTGGTAAGAAGAGTACAGATGATGGCAACTCTGATACGGGGGTTGCCGAAAATAGGGGGTACCTTATTTGGGGGTCCTTATAATAAGGATCCCATTATTTGGGGTACTATATTAGGGTCCCCTATTTTCGGAAACCCCCATACTGGATGATACAGGCATTGACATTGATTTCCGGAATGGCTCCTTGCTGCGCATGTACAGCGAACCCACACTTCATAACCCTACCTTGCATCGTCTAGTGTTTACGGCATTCGGCCTGAATAGGCGAGCCTTAACAATGAGTCCCTTCCTCATATTGTAGCTGGCAAGCAGCTAGTACAGTGTTAGCCGAAGATTGCCGAGATATAGATTAGGGAACAACAGTTTTGAGCCCAGCACCTGGGCCAACGTACAGTTCGCCCTTAGCCTTGCGAGTTCTTGTGACTACCGCATGCGCACGACAGAGCGAGCACCACAGAGAGAGAGAGAGAGAGAGAAACACCAAGTGTGCGGCGGGGCCAGTCACTATCCAGTAGCCGAACGGGATGCGCACTGCATTGAAACCTGAACGTTCACCGCAGCCGCCGGATATGCTGCTACGACTTCCGCGAGACTCGACACAATGACTTTCACCGACCCCGTTTCCACACTCCGTTGAGATCGGAGCCCATCGAGCGGATGTTGCGAAAGTCCTCTTCTGAAATGAAATTGGCTCGGTGGGCCTGTCAGGCACTGGCATGCCGTCTCCACGTGCAAACTGATGATGAGCAATAAGCTGCATACTGCCAGATTTACATGCTACCAAGATGTTCGCATTGGGCGGACAAACAGATGGGCAGGCCTGAATCGCCTCTATCGTTTTCTGTGTGCCGAAATGCTTGCGCATTTTGTCAAGCAGCCGCCACCTCGCCCGGGACCGAAGCTTCAACAGAAATCACTGTCCGCGGCAGGGAGATACGAGGGGACTGTTGAGACTCAAGGCTCGTAGGGCTGGAAGATGGGGGGAGAGCATCCTGCATCACTTCTCTAGTCACGCTCTCAAGCTCGCCGGCCTTTGAGAGTAGATATAGCTTGCTGCGGCAAGTCTAGATAGGCTCCTTGGCCAAACCTGAACAACGCCGAACACGGTAGCGCTGGGCTCCGGGCTCGCAGGTGGCCTCCGGACCAAATGTCTGGAAGAGCTCGTGACTGGGCCCGGGCTCTAGCAGCAGCCAGCCACCGAGATTCACACCTGCAGGAACTTTGGCAAGGTACTATCAAGCCGTAGAAGGACTTCGAAGGCTCCCACCTCTGTAGGGAGGTCTCTTCCAGTACAGGTGCCTCTCACTACGATCATTTACGATCACTCCCGGCCCACGTTCGTCCGGCTGCACCAGCCTCTGCTGCTCAAGGAAGCGCGACAAGCTCGAGGCAGCCCGCCCAAGGTCCTCACACTCTGACACTTCAAAGAAGCTCAGTCTTACTATGTCTCTCATGCAAATGTCCTGCGACACTTCGCGCCAGTAGGCCACAGCACAAAGCGACAAAGTACGGACACGCGCCAAAACCACATCCTGCCGCAGGCACCCTAAACCGAGCTCAGCAGAGCGCTACATAGCCCTACCACCACCACGTCCTGCACAAGGCCACCTACAGGTTTCTATGAGCGTCCTCTGCTGGAGAGCCAGTGGCACATGCCGCCAGTGGCCTGGCAGGCCGCAGGCCGTCACTGTGCCTTCTCTCACACTCAGAGCGGCAAGGAGCCTTTTGGTCGTGCCCTCCTTGCGCAGCGCCGCGCAAAGGGCAGGACCAAGACGCTCGCTGTGCCCGCCGTTGGCCTGCGTCATGCTTCTGTCCGATAACGATGAGTTCGACTCTCCAACTCTGCAGCCTGGGCCAGTGCCGATGCTAAGGTTGAAAGCGCTAGGCGGACTACCTCAGCAGCTGACCACATCCGGTCTGCCAAGAAGCTCTTCTTGTACCACGTAGACAAACCGACTCTGTAGAAGGTACTTCAGACAAACGCAACTCTGGACCGACCTCCTCCGCGTGGGATGGGACATCTTCGGGTTGAGTGGACTGAGTCTGGCTCGACCTGTCCAGCCGTTAGCAACCGCACAGTGACAGCTGTTCAGTTCGAGCTTCGCGCTGACTTGATCCCAGCATCATGGGGAAGGCAGAGGCAGAAGTCTCACAGGCCTTGGTCGACCAGCTACAAGTATGTAGAGTCTAAGTAGATTCCGATGCAGGAAGCCATGACTCCATGACATTCAAGCGGTTCATTGTGTGTACGCACCTGCTTTCCTTTCTGAGTCGCGAGTACACCTGCAATCAGATTGCGTGAGCTTAGCCTGTTGAGGCCCCGCTGCGACAGGACTTTGTTGCTGCTCGCCACAGCTTCGATCCGCAAGCTTTCCCCGGCTGCACGGTAATTGAAGGGCAGTTTTATGCCCAGCAGCCAACTCGAAACTGCAGCAAACACTGCAGCTGATTTTGGCTGCTTTCCCATCCTGTCTGCCTTGCGACGGACTTTGACACATTCGGACTGAAGGCTCTGCCTTCGTGCGTGCGAAGTCTCCAGCAGTCAAGCCCACGACTAATTCTGCCACAGGCATGGCATCATTAACAATCCGACGGTCGGCGCTCAACGCGAGACTCTTCGCTTTTTGGCGGGCGTGGTGTCCTGGCAAGGTGCACACGGCAACAGCATGCTCACATAGCTTGTTCATACAAGCAAACTGCATCCGAGCCAAAACAAAAGACCACCAGGTTTTTTCTTGGATCCTTGCTCTCCTCTTGAAAGACTGAGGCCACCTCAGCTCCGCAAGCGAAAGCTGCGTGTCGGCATCACAGCTTCGCCCTGAGTGTTTGGCCGGTTTTGCGCCGCCTCTTCGAAGTGAGCCAAAGGCAGCTCGCCACATCGTCTTCTGGGTATCAGTATCGAAGACGACTCCGCTGTAGGTCAGCACCTGAGGGCAGAACGACAAAGATCACCGCGCGGGAAGTACAAGGGGTCTTGTCAATGCAGCAAGTGACGACCAATCTATGAGGCCAGTTGAGCATGTAGCCAGATCCACCTGCACCTCGTTGCGTCGCTTGCAGAGTTGCTTGCGTCGACTGCATAGATTCCATTATGAGGACAATTCGACAAGGTCTCCATGTCCACGTTTGTCAGAATCCCCCTGGTTTGTTTTGCAGATCCAATTTGCCAGCAAGGCACCGCCCCAGTGCACGGTGTGCAGCTGCGACCCCACCTGAACAGAGCTGCGAGTGAGACTGCCTCTGAGAAAAACGTCTGCGCCAAGCTGCTGTTCGGCGGTTGGCACCCTTGAACTTGACGCCGATTTGGCCCAGGGGAGAAAAGCCAATGCCAGGCGTGTTCCAAACCCACAGCGGGCGCCTGTTCCGGACAATCCCAAGCATTGCATTTGCGCTTGTGGCAGGGCTTTGGTGTTGCTGCAGCTCGCTTGGCCACGGAAAATGATGCACCTCCGCTTCTCAGTGGTGAACTCGTTCAACCAGTCACGCCCGAGCAGCTGCACAGTCTTGGCTTGAAGCATCAATCAACTAGCCCCTCCGCTCGACCACACCATACGATACCACGCCTATACCAGCGACTCGAAACTGGCCAGCGACTCTCTGTTGGACCTGGGCTCCGGACTGCGGCCTTGAGAAGTCGCACGCCATCCAGCTGCGCATGGAAGCATGGGAAGACTACAGACACCCGTCGGGCGACACTCTGTGCACCATGTCGCAGGCTCACGCGCGCACGCGCGCACGCGCGCGTACGCAGGCGCGCGCGCAGACCTCTCCGTTGTTGACGATCATCTGGAAGAATCGCGAGCAATCGGTAAAGTTGCTGACAAGCCCACCTCGCAGTCCATATTTCCAGCTATCTGCACATGGAGATGCCCAACGAATGAGCGATGCGACGGAGCTGCAAAAAGCACTGGGAGACGAGGCTAATTATCAGCAGTGGCCCTGCCTGCAACACTGCAGATGCAGCCACCACCCTGGATGACCTCGCGCACAGCAAGTCATCAAAGGTATCACTAGCGACATAAACTGTCATGCAACTCGTGAAGTGGCAGTTTAAAAACAGCCAAGCAAAATCAATGATTCCAGCTCTGATCCCTGCACTGATCCCGTCCTTCGATGCGGGCCCACCGTGTAGAAAAACAGAGGTTGGCATCGGGTGCACGGATGACTTGTCCACTTCAGGCCTGCCACAGTCTTTGTGTAAACACTGGAAAAGACTCTTGCTACTTGCTACGGGTAACATCGCATGCCTCGCCAGCACGTTCCTGGACAGGTCTTCCATAACGCCGCTGCCGCCCACATCCGAAGTCACGAAGCGAACGGTCTTTGCTTTCCCATGCCAGGGTTCCCTGTGCGCAACACACCGTCAAGCACGGCATTTGCATGGCATCGAAGTGCAACGGATCCGCATACTGAAGTCAACTGGCGCGCAAAACGAACCGGTTGCACGACGGGGCGCCTCTTGTAAAGTGCCGCCAGCTTTGGAGCCTGTTCTTCTGGAACTGCAAAGAAGGTGTTGGCCATCCCTGCATCATGGCAAGGCGGTTCCCATACCTCGTACTGGTAACAAAAATAAGGTGAGTCAGATCCAGGCCTAAGGGCTCCAGCACCTCCTCCCTGAGAAAGTCATCCAGCCGCTTCTTCGTGAGCACTTCGATGAGCCTGTGGAGAAAACATCATCCGTTTGGGTTCTCGGACCAGGAAACAGCCCCGACCTTCCCAGCACATCTGAGCTGTAGCCATATCCCCAGTCTTTGCCGGGCTGAAACCGCAAGGGTATTTTGGCAAGCTCTTCACACCATTCCTTAGGCAGGGTGCAATCCTCAAAAAGAGGCACTCTACCACTGTCGCAGCTTGGGCTCTGCCAGAGAATGGATCTCCCCGGCATCCACCTTTCTCACCAACCCCACGTAGGTCGATTCGTAGTCGTTCTCGGCCTCGTAGCCTAGGATTCAAGGGAACCATTTCATATATGTTTTAGAGAGAGTGTACATATAGATATATATGTATATATATATATATCGGAAAACCGAGGCAGCAACCGAAGCCAGGTCCAAAGCCGATTCCGCTCGTGTGAGCGAGGAGGTCGCGCACCAGTATCGGGCGCGAGAGTGGCTTTCGTTGCGGGCCGACGGCTGCATCTTTGAACTCAGGCAAATACTTCTCAACCGGATCATCGAGAAGGACCTCACCGCGCTCGAAGAGGATCAGGAAGCCTACCACCAGCACTGGCTTCGTCTGGGAGTAGAGCCGGAACAGCGTCTGAGAGTTCATGGCCACTTGGCCGGCCAGGTCTGAAAAACCGTGGGCCTGCGGGAGAATGTGTCTGGATCTAATCCGAAAGTGGGAAGCAGCTGGCAGTGCATTTCACAGTGTGCCTCGAAGTGGATAAGATGACCCTCTTTGACTGCACAAGTCATGACGCCTGGAAGGCGGCCGGAGTCGACCTTCAGAAAGCGATTTCCGTTTCAAAGGAACTGTGAGGAGAGATCTCTTCGTTGCACCTGTGACTTCAGCCGCCCGGCTGCTGCTCTGAGTGGCTGGGGGTCCATCTGCAGGCTCTTGGCCTTCAGGTGTGCAGACAATGATGACCAGGAAGCAAAATGAGTGCGTAGTGGCCACTGCTCCGCGCGCTGTCGTTTTCAAATCCGCTGCCTTACGAGTACCGGCTTGTAGATCCTCCATGGCAGCACTGGAAACAACCTAGCTGTCGCACAGCTGAGCTGTAGCTGGGCTGGGCTCATCCTTAATGTACTTCCTCAACCCAATCTCTTGTGATGCTGGGCTACCTTTCTTGCATGGAGAAGGTGCAAATCGCTCCCGTAGCCAATGCTTGCAGAGATGGGCCGTGGAGATGCTGTCTGCTACAAGACAGTACCACCATTCCGAGTCTGTGAGAGAAAGCTTTACCCGCTCTTCAACGACATGCGAGCGCACTCGGCCTTGCTTCTCAGCATGATCAACTTCTGCCTGTGACATGGCGATAGGAAAGGGAGACAAACGAACTGCGCGGCGACTCCACCTGACCTGTGCCCTGGCAGCAGACCAGATGACTCTCGTCACTGCTCTGCAAACTGCCAGAGGCAGCAGGCCGTCCGCCTGGCACAAGCGGGAGCTAGAGAACAGGTCTCACATCCTACTCCAAAACACGGCAGGCATGCCAAAGGTCCATGGTCGGCATCTGTCTCCGGGCAAGCTACCTCCGGATTGCTGGATTGCTGGGTTCGCTCACTCGCCAGGTCGCTTGGGGCTTGGCTGACAGCAGGCTGGGCTGACAATTCCTGCCTCAGTCTTTGATCACGGTGCCTTTCCCAAGAAGTCAAGTTCATGCTGGGGCCCTGGCTTGGACTTCGACTGCGCTCCCTCGGCTGCAGGCAGCTCAGGTCCTCAGCCCGGCGTGCCTCCAGGATACCGGTTTCAGTTCCTTGCAGCCCTCCTTCCGGCTGCACAACTGAGCGTTTTGCCTCAACAAGACTCCGGCCGCTCGGCGGAGAGCCGAGGCAACAACCTGGCGGACGTCTCAACAGCTCATGATGCAGCATGCGGGACCTTTACAGACACGACGTCATTACACAACAAGTATCGCCATGCTCAGGCCGCTAGCTGCGCGCGTTGCCTGATGTGGTGCTTGAATTTCATCTCCGACAAACGAAGCCACATCACATCACGATTGACGCTGCAAAAGATGCATAGGATTGCATAGGTAGCTGTGATCTTGTGTGCCAGGGGCCGGGACTTTAAGCCACAAAGCACAGGCCGGGCAGGCCGTGCTTGGGCATTCTCCTCCTGCCACTTCGCTGACGGCGCTCGGCAGGCTGAAGTGGCTGTGGGTTTGCTCTGGATTTCGTGATGCCTATGTCAACACCACATGTACCTTTCCTGGGAATGCTGCAAGATGCTGCAAGCGTGATTTCGCCAGAAACGCAAACTGCTGGCTGGATCGTCTAGAGTGTTGTTCAATTTGAGCTTGAGCCCGTGGCCTCAAATCAAGTCGAGATCCACTAGCCAGCCGAGCTATTCTAGCCCCTTGGCTCCACCCGAGCAGGTCCTGTAGCCTGCATCCGCTAGTCGAGCCTCTTTCTCTCAGGTAGTCTGAGGTCCAGAATTCCTATTCGGCATGATAAGTCATAATGCACGACGCATGTGGCCTACCGCAGGTCTGGGGGTGCACGCGCACCCGCCTGCTTTAAGAACTCGGGGCTTGTCTATGCTCCCTCAACGGTGATCTTGATCATCTGCACCGGTTCATCCGGGCAGTCCTCCGAAGCGAGAGAAGATAACAACTCGCACTGATATCTGCTGTCAAGCTTGGACTCGCGCGTTTGTCGTCCGCACCTGGGAGATTTTTTCGATGAGGTCGTACCTGCTGCACATCCAGCTTCCCACAGATGTGAAAATTCGAGTTAGTCACCAGTATGGCACAGTGTCAGCCTCCAAAGAGAGCCTCCTACCTACTCTACATTGGCATCCTTATCCTACACACCTCCACGGCATGTGCGAGCGCACCCCTCAACAACCTTGCCAAACACCGGATGTGCCGATGGCGAAGATCGGTCGAACCAGTTCAAGAAGCCTGGCAAGGCTCTCTTCATAAGCTTCACCTTCTTCGAAATCGGAAAACTTGCCCAGGCCACTGTTGTTGTTCACGTTGATGAAGAATTGGGAACCGCCGGAGTTAGGGCGCCCCGTGTTGGCCATGGACCTCGGTGTGAGGCATGCCTTGTTTGTTTGAAGTGCGCTGTACGCCCTTCGTGGCTCCAAGTGGCAGTGTGCCCGGCTCGTTGCCAAGCTTGGCAGTAAATTCATCCTCGATGTTCCCTGTCACCAACAGCTACGAAACGACGAACTCAAGGAGGCCATGGGCGCAGCATGGCGCAGCATGGCGCAGCCTCCGTTTGAGCGGCGAGCCTCCCGGCCGGAACCATCCAGGACCTGTTATGTTACCTATGCTTCGCAGAGTCAGTGAGCACAAGCTGGTCTCTCTGCGGGTCCTCAAAGCTTCCATCTGGCGGGCCGCCGGTGCCAGCCCTGGGGCTTCGAGGATCCTTCGCGTTCCTCACCCAAAGAGATCGCGGGAGGCTGGAGGCTCTGGAGAGGCTCTGGAGAGGCTCTGGAGAGGCTCCAAGACAGGCACGGGCAGCCGAACTGGCACATAAATCCGGGGATCTCGGTGTCCAAGCAGAACAATGGCATGCTCTATTTCCCCGGACGTTGGTGCGGCTCTACCTGGGCCTCTTGCGACACGGTGGAAGTGGATTCCGTCATAGAACCCGGTCTTCGCCTTATGTGATGCCATGATGCAACCACAGTAGGAGTGAACTGCGAACCTCCCCGAAAATGCCATGATCTGTCGCGCCAGAGAGCCAAATCAATCCAATTGGAGGCAGTTAGAGGCATTTCGTCCATGTACAGCTCTACCTGCGTGTCGAGCGACCATGAATGCAGATGTTGGCGCCGTGTGATGTAGCGCTGTCACCTCGTTTACAATCTGTGGGCGACGCTTCGTGCCTTGAAGGTTCCCATGGAAGTCTCGCACGTGGCAACAGGGTTCGCCTCAGCCAAAATGGGAAACGATGTGCCACCACTAGACGTCAGCTTGGGGGCCGTGCTCGGCAAGCAACTGGGCTCGCAGATGCCCGGCTGCGCTCCCTTGCACTGTTCCAACCATCCGACGCATGTTACGGACTCTGCGGTACGGCAATCACGGCTGTTCAGCACGAGCAGCTGACGGCTGACGATTAGCTTAGCCTGCGATTGAAGCGATGCGCTGCTGCTGCACCCAGCACTCCGCAGGCCGCCCAGGCAAACCTTGGCAGTGGGACAGGTGACTGCGCATTTTCTTTTCCACAGCACCGGAGACCGGACACACTTCCAGGAAGCGACGAAAACTCGGCACCGGCATTGGCCTGAGCGACGACGCATGCAAGGCGTGGGGGGTGCTGGGACTCGGGCACCTCTGGCCTTCCTGCCCTGCACATCGGCAGTTGTGAGCGTGAGCTGGCTTGTCTGCAGATTGCCTGCGGTCCAAAGGCAGCTTTCGAACGAAGCAGCACCGAGCTGGCACCTCGAAGCGCCGTGAAGGCAAAAGCACCCGATGCCTGCATCGGTGATGTTCAGCATAGTAAACTGGACAGGAGGAGCAGTAATCCTCGGTTTCAGTGTGCTTTCATCTACAGGTCTCTACTAAGCCGGTAGAAGTGGCTGTGCAGGGCTGCAGGTCGGTCGTGGCTAAAATCATAGTGTCGGAACCTCGGCTTCGGAAACTCAGCTTCGCTTTCCCTCATTTAAGCAGTTCTGACTTCCTTTCCACACCGAGGAATTCTAGTGATCCGCGATAGGGAACTCTCAAGCGACTCTAGCGGCTAGCTGCCAGCAGGCAGAAGAGCGTTGGAAGCTATCCCACAACGAATTTTTAGTTATACAGCACTCTGAGATGGTCGACGCGGCTGCTGTCACATTCATCATACGTTACATCTGAAGTACCCGTGCCTGCAAGGCCACAGCTGCTAGGAAGCTGCGCATGCTGCCCGTTGCTACAAAATTCGCCTGATCCGGTTCTATGTCTGCCGAAGCAACAAATGTCGCTTGTATGGCAGCACATGCAACACATTCACCAACCCTCTGCACTCATTCAGGACCTGTCGCATGCAAGCTTTGTTTTGCAGCTCGAAATGGCAAGAGCCGCTCCCGTGCCAGCATCTCCTCTTGCAATCGTCAGGCACCTGCCGAGCCGCTTCACGACTTCTGGAAGCTGACAGCTGGTAGCTGCAAGCATGCTCTGCCTTGGGATTGCGATGCCATCGTATCGGTGACGGTCTGCTCTGCTTGGCTAGCTTCGTTTGCCGTGGCTTCCACAATCTGCAGCCAGTACAAGGCAAGGTGAACAAGGCGACAGCAAACATCCTGCTCACCTCGTCCTTGACTTTCTCCTCCTCGGCCAGAATCTGCATTTCAGTGTCCTCGACATGGCTGGAACCCACTCTTGCAGGCGTCGCAACACCTGGACTAAGCCAAACCCATCGATAGATAGCCCCTCATAGGCTTCTGTTGCTATTTCTCTGTCATGCGGGAGTCCTTCACCTTTTTGGCAGCTGCAATGGTCTTGTTTACCTTGACGTCCGTCTTCAGGAAGTTCTTGACCTTCCATTCGACCTGCAATCGTGTCTGTTGGGCACAAGCTCATTCCTGGTCCTAAACTAACACTTGATGAGGTCGCCTGCTTTGTCTGCTCCATCAGTATGTGCTCGGCCATTGTCAAATTAGCCTGGCGGGTGGTAATGCGAAGTTTTCCGAATGATGGCATTGGAAGTCACGGAGCCTGCATTTTCAAGAAGTGCTGCTTCAGCCTTTGGAGCCTTTAGAAACAGAAGGACACAAGGCCTGGCGTGAAAACAACGTGAATGCATGGGCAGCCGCGGCCTGCGATTCAGCACTGTGTTCTCAATCATGTCCATCTCTGCCTGGCCACGACTTACACAAGTCTGGTCGCGGCATCAACATAACAGGCCGGCAAGAAAGCATGGCAAACATGGCCGACGGGCCGCATGCTTCACGGCTTTGTTCAGCTGCCGCACAACTGCACAAGCGAAGGATCGAGATGGACCAACCACTACGACCCCGACACCATTGCTCCTTCATCGACGGCATGCGATTCACTTGCAACAGTAATAATAATAACAATAATAATAACAATAATAATAACAATAATAATAATAAGCTACAGTCTGCGAGTCTGCTTTTCTTCCTCTTCGTAATCATTGCAATCATTTCTCTGCCTCGCTTAGGCAAGTGCACCAGTGCGTCGCGTCCGAGGCATATCCCCGCAGACTTCCCTTTTTCGATGACTGCAAGCTACGAGTAGCTCGACCTTCCCAAGGAAGTTTTAGGATTCGTTGAGGCCGAGGATCGAAACTGGAAACGGATTTACATGGCACAGGTCCAGAAAGTCAAAGAGAAAAGGGGACGGCGCGGACGGCGGTCAGGAAATGCTAGTCCGTGACTGTGAGGCATCGGACCACGAGCGTGGTGGAACTGGCCATTGCGATGTCCAGGCTAAAGACCTAAGAACACTCGAAATGCCTTTCTCGTTCCACATCATCGTCATCCCTTCATACTCCTCCTCCTCATCATCATCATCATCCACAAAGAAACGTGCGACGCGGGCGGTACATGCTCGTTCTATGGTGATGCTAATACTACATAATCTGACAGGGGCTCGCGTGAACAAGATGATGATGAGGGACGAATCTGCACACATTGCCGCCATCCGAGGCCTTTGACGAACTCAGCCTTCTGCTCGTCGGTGAATTCACCCTGCCTGCCTGTCAGAGCAGGAAGGACTACTACTGATTCAGTTCAACAAGGCTCAGGACCCTTTAGAGATAAGGACTCCTGGCTCTCTGTCTCGAAAGCTCATCGGAAAGCTTGCATCCAGCCTGGGGGACCAACCTCAAAGACCAATCAGACGCGGTCATGTCCCTTTGGCCCCTGAGGTTTTAAGGAAACTGCAGGGCCAGGGTCTCCTTGCGGACCGGGCTTTCCGATGTCACCTCAGACAGCACGTTTTACTCTGACGATGCTTCGAGAAGCCACAGACTCCTTGCCTTCCGATCCAGCCCGCCCCGGTGGCCTACGGTCAGACGCGGACTCACGCACAGCCGTTGCCGAGCATCTAAGAGCGTCTCAGAGCGTTGCCCATCCGGCCCCACGGAATCTGCCATGTCGATGGACGCCGTGCTGTCGTCTCCGGGCCTCGAGCTCCCACCACGTAACATCCGTGCTTTAACCGTAGTGCTTTTGGAGCAACAATACACTCGTTTCGTGAGCTCCCGAGAGCGCGGCGGTCCAGGCGGGCCTGGCGGGCCCTGGACGCCCGCTGTGCCAGCTTCTCCCGCAGGCTGGGCAGAGCGAGAATCATGACAGCTTGCCGTCGAAAGCCCAGCGCTATGCGAGATCGGTTGTGCAGAAGCAACAGACAGGTTCTGAGAGCGCCGCCCCGGCATCGCCTTGCTGTGTCCAGATGGTCTCCACGCTCTGACAGGGAGTCACTGATCGCACTGTGTCTCCCTGGTGGTCATGCCCTGCCGTGCCTCTATCTGGCCGGTGGCATCCGTCAGCGGGACTTGCCACATCCTTCCAGGAATGCAGCGCCTGTTTCTCAGTACGTCTATGTCGTGCAATAATATCCCTCTAAGCTCCTCAGCTTGTCTCCAGCGGCCGCTTCGAGCTCCGCCAAGGTACCTGGGCTTTCGACGAAGGTGTGGGGAGGATGGTCGCAGGATGTGCCGAGATCCCCGCTGAACTGTCGTGGCTTCTCGAGTCTGGCAAGCTCTGCCTCTTTACGACTTTACGAGTACTACCAGTTGAATCCGCATTTCCACCACGCGGATCTTGGGGCCTCCAGTTCGTGAGAGCTGAGGGCCCCTGCAGCTGAGACCTCAAAAGGGATTGCAGCTTCAGCCCGAAGGAGGCCAGTCGTGACCGGCCTGCGTGTATCTCTTTGACTTCGCTGCCTGTCCTGCTCCGATCCGAGCGGGTGCAAATGCAAATGCAAGCAAGAGAGAGCAAGTTGAGTCCTTCAGCGGAGGCGGCTCCTTGCTCCGCTTTCGTGCTCTGCTCCCGCCTCCCAAAAGGCGTGGCGGAGCTTGGTAGGCCAGCTCTGTGAGAGATGCAGGCCGTGTCTTTGCAAGTTGTGGAAGGAGTCTGAGTTTACCGGCATGGGGCTTAACTTCGGGTCTGGCAATGCAGACGCTGGGAAGTGATGTTCCTGCAGGCACGCATGCAATGAACGCACAGGTATCGGATGACCATGCGTGGACCCCTCCACCTTGACTCTGGCCCTCTCCACAATCCACTGCAAGCTTCCGACTTCCGGCCTCAACCAGTGTGATGAGGATGCAGACACCGCCTCTGTCAGGAGTTTGCAGAAAACACCGTCTCCAGGTTGCACTATAGCTGAAGCCCTCTGGAGTTGGACCCTCTGCAGGTTTCACTGGTCAACTCTACAGCTGCCGCAAGTTCAAGCGATTCGTTTGTCATTTCTGGTGTCTGTGGTCATGACTCATGACATCAAAACTTCTATATATACATATATATATATACATATATATATATGGGGGTTGTTCTTTATTAAGGTTGCAGCCCCTAACTCGAAAATCGTCTTGCGCTTCGCCCTTGCGCGCTCTTGCGCGCACACAGTTTTACACACATTCCCACCCTGTAGTAGCAGTAGTAGTCGTAGTGCCTCGTAGTGCCTCGTTTCGGAAGCTGGCTGGATTGTGCCAGATTG